ATTATCAAAGATACTTTTTTAACTTGAATAAAACAAATCAACACAATATAAATGAAAATCATAATCTATGTTGATATAACATTTAATGAAATCAAAATATAAATATATTTTTTAAAAATTTTATTTTTAAATTTAAATCCAAAATATAGGAACATTGTTGATCAATCATGTATTTAAGGTTTGATAGCAAAACAACATGTTGGAAATTAAGTATTAGACACAAATGTTTTTGTGCTTAATCAAAAGTAAAAAAAGAAATTTGAATAATTCAAACTCTACAAGAAGTGTAGTTGAAAAAAAATTATTTACAAAAGAAATTAGTGGGTATGATATGCACAAAAAATCTCTAAACACAATATATGATGTTGTTGTAAGGTCAAAAAAATTGAATACAACAATTTATTGTCATTTTTTGTGAAGAACAAATTTCAATCTCATGAAAATCTGTCATTGTTGGTCAAAAAAAATTCGATGACTAAATGTTATTATTGTTTTCAAATATGAAAATATTTAATGGAGTAATAAAAAATTGTTGTTGTCAAATATTACGACATAAACCTAAAAAACTCTATCGCAACAATTGATATTCGTTTCTTTTGTGCAAAACATAATTTTGACGTAACATTCTTGATTTTATTATTTATGAAAGTTTCAATCTTAAATTTATATATATATATGACAAAATGTAAAAAAAATAATTCATTATTTTTTTGCTAACTTTGAAAAATACAATCAAAATCATGTGTATGTTGTTTTGTTTTTGTTTTAGCATTATAAAATAAAGAAAAATTCTTTTTTTCACATTATCTAAAAACTAACACTTATTATTAAAAAAACTTTAATTATATTTTTTAATCGATTATGAAAAAATTAAAATTATGGCTTTTATATTTCTTTTTATCAATGAGTTTCATCAAATTATTTTTTTGATTAAAAATTATTAAAGAAAAAAATAATTTAAGAACTCTTTAAAAAAATATTGTGAAAGATTGTGAATTCAATTATTCATGAAGGTTTGATTGAATAATTTAAATTCAAATTTTTTGAGTTTTTGATTTTCAAAATATATAGATGAAACATTTTCAAAATGATTTGTAGATAAAATATTTATGAAACTTTTATTCATGAGTTTTGTTTAAAATATGTCAAGTTAAATCTTAGTATAATTTTGTTTCAATTGTACTTGAAAATAATTTAATCTGTAATATATATCATATAAAACCAATTATTTCAATATGTCATGTTTGGTCGTGATTGATAGTTTTATCCAATAATCAATATGAAAATTTAAATTCAATGATTTGATAACTAAATCATATATATAATATGCAATGATTTTGTATTTATCAAAGTTTTGAGTTTTTAAATGTTTTATTATGGGAGCGCCTAGTTATCCGTCACTTTTGGCTAATTATTGCTCATCCTACTATACTCTATTCTTTAGAGTTTTGTGATTGGTCAAATGCACGGGACGGGTCGGGGATATAGTTTTCATGGATTGGGTGAATGCAACTTCTTAAATAGCTACGCTAACAAGTGGGAGGGGGGCTCAAGAGCATATTTTCCGAGTCAAAGACACAACGTCAAAGCCAACCAGAGTATTCAATCAACTACAACCGTGGAACTAGACCTTGCACTAAAATTGAGTACAATCAGAGTTCCAATGACATGCACGTAGATTGCTTGCTAATGAAGAACATGGAACCAGGAATTTAGTCGGAGGTGAAATCCTATGATGGGATTTTGCGTGCTCCTTGTGAAGATCCATTAGACCAGGAACTCGAATCTGAAGTAGAAGAAGACTGACAATTAGTATATAGAAAGAAATAAGTGCAAACAATGTCATACAAAATCGTCACAATGAACACTCTATGAACCCTATAGAAACTCATGTGCTTTCAAAAAGAGCCAAGAAGGCAGCTTTGATGTAACGTGGCGGACATGGCTTTGACGTCTGTCACGTCAAAACCACCTCCGCAGAAAACTCCAATCATAACTTCATTCGTGATTCTTAACTCAACATAAACAGCGAACATCGTGTGAGGGAAAGGAAAAGGGGAAAAAGAAAACTCCGCCAACTTACAAAGGAATCGCTATTTTAGAAATAACATTCATCCATCCCGCGAAAACTATGTCCTTGTACCTTACCGCATCTAACCAATATATATATAACAAAGCTCTACAGAAGAGAATATAGTAGAATGAGTAATAATTAACCAAAAGTGAAAGATGACAAGTGAGAGATGATTATTATAGTTTACACATGTTGATATATTATGATGTATTTATTGAAATTTTTAATGTGACAATCGTGTTTGTTGGGATGTAATCTTCAAGTGAAATTATATTTAAAATGATTCCATATTTATAATTAGATTTTAATATTAAGTAGAATTGATATCAAATATTGAATTCAAATTTTACCTCGATGTTGTTATAACAAATAGACATATTATATAATTATTCAAAAACAGATTTCTAAACATATGTGAAAAAATTGATATTAATTATGGTTATTTATGTTAAATGATAATAATTTTATGTCATGCAGCATTGAGATATGTTACATATAGTGTCAAATGGATGACATTTAATTTACATCAATATACTCAATACTGCTGTGATGGTGTTTTACGAAATATGATGAATTAAATATGAGTTAATTTTTGCATTAAACATTATAGACTTGAGGTAATATGGTTTTACATAGTCATACATCTCAAGATCATAATGGTACTTGCCAATGCAACATAACAAGCCAGAGCATTGGGATTTGAATTCAAAGCAAAGATAGGCGAAAAAGAATTACAAGTTCAACTTGTAGCGGAGTCACAAGTTCCAATCTGTCCAACATAATCGATGACCTTGCTGATACACTTCCATCCTAATAGACCAACGAGACACAACTTTTACTCTCAGTGAGAATAATTAGCATCAACTGAGGATATCTAGTAGCTACTTTAAAAGTAATAATTTTATTCTCTGCAATAACAACAAATTTAAATCTGTAGCATTAACAAAAAAATTAGTTCTGCTTATGTTTACCACTTAGATCCAAACCTCCACTACTGTCATTTTTTTTATCATGTGTATTTATCATTATATTTGTGTCATTTCTTTACCATGTTGAATGTACCCAGCCAAAAAGTTGTAGGCCACTGTCTGCGATTACTTACCATAGGGTTGGAGAGTATAATGCGTACGTGGAAACCAATGTTATATCGACACGTACTCAGTGTACGAATACGATAGATGTTGAAGTGCAATGTTATGTGAAAAGTACACATATACGTTCACAGGTGCTCCAAAGGTATCTAAAGACAAATTTGCTTATTTGTCTTTAGATACCTATTTGTCTCCATATACCTCGCTCACGAGCGGTACATTTGGTAAATTCATATCATGATACTGCTCTCTCTACCTGAACTTCGACTTTGACTGGCTGGAACAGTAAGATCCAGGCACCGCCGCACTAATTGACAGTCTTAAGAAAATTCAAAAGTCAAGACATGCCGATCAGAACGAAAAGTTTCGATCGACGCACAATCAATGCCACAGAGACTTGTAGACACTCAAATGCAAGCTGAAAACCTCATCCCCGCAACTATCAAGAGTAGCTTTGTCGCTTTCCCACTCTAATTATAACCAACTTCAGACGATGGATAGATTGCGCTGATGAGGGGATTTGGTCCGATCAAGTGGCCTTCAAATCTATCCTTGAAAGTTGGAGAAACCTAAAGAGACGAAAGAATCGTGTCTATCTTTGGAGTGATGATAGTTGAATAAGAGTGACAGAACAAGAGGTCTACGGATCAAGTTCTTCCTGCCTGCAATGTGAACCACCAGCTGTATTGTAGTTGTTGCTGAGCGATTACATTTCCGGCGGAGTGATTCCCTTCCTCCGGATTCTGTCTCGTCGATTCGACCATCTACTAGTTCAACTTGCTGTGACTGTCATGGAGAAACTGTGTGTCTTTGAGCCTTAGAGTAAAATGTCATGGTCAAGGATAGAATTGGAGTTCCAAGAATGTAAATGACGAGGCGTACGAAGAATAGTTACCAAATTGTCTAGTCAGAGGCTGGCATCTGGGTAATCAGGGAAATAAATAATTAAACTTATCTTACCTCACTAAAGTGAATAATTAAAAGGCACAACTTGTCCAGTGCTTACTCTATTAAACCCTGAGCCGAACGTTCAGGTTAATTTAGTTCGTATCAGCATTAGAATGTACCTTTAAGAAGGAATGTGCACGATGAATAAGCTAAAATCAGTATACGTTTGCCCATTCACGTGGGATATTGATTCAATGCTATTCTCGTCTCGGAATGGAACTCCAATTCTATACTTCAGAATGACATTTTACTCTAGTGCTAAAAGACACAAATCCCCACAATGACAGTCACAACAAGTTGAACTAGTAGATACTCGAAATTGTTAACACAACCCAGTAAGGCTCACACATCCATAGACGCTTACCTACTTACCGTTGTCTTTCTCCCTACACCATGTGGTAATTGTCTATCAGGTGATCACTGGCCTCATAAACTTCATACGAGAATAAAATTAATCCAACTACAGAGGGACTGATTTTCGTGATGTTCTTGTCAGTGGAACGCCATCGTCCGAAATCCCGCTGGTAGGGGAGTATTGCAAAATCCAGTCTACCCTCAAAACAATTCCGGATTTTGAGGATCATCAAATTGGCTCAAACTTGTCATGAGGGTTATAATCTTCTTCAATCTCGCAGGAAAGATGCAAGCTTGTCAGACATGATCATTTCCATCGGGAGGCAATTATGCAATGGCGAATTTGCTTATCCCACCAAGTGGACTGCTTCCATTCACTCGCCCGTGGAAGATGTTTCACCATTTCCGTTCAAAATTCAAGACGTTGATGAGCCCTGTGATTGCCGCTGACATCTCGTCGCTGGAGAGGCCTCAGTCGGAAGGATACAGAACATCATTTAAATTCGACCAACAAGACGGCGTGACCAGGAAGTACTTAAAAGAAACTTTCATTAGATCGAGAACCAGTGGCCTGGAGACATTCCGATGGAGGGTGATTTCCTCCTTTCCGAGGAGAAAATTGTCTACGCAGTGATGTCGATAGCCAAGCTAGTCTAAATGTCTAGACGAGGGTAATCAATCACGCACTTCCAACCGTGGGAAAACGTTACAAAAAAGTCTGCATTCATACCACTATCTTTCTAATCACTTACGTCGGTGACTGTCCAGAGACACGCTCTGTGAATAATGAGTGCTCCCGTGACACGGCTACTAACGCCGAGCGTCCGAGACATCTGAAGCAGCAGGTGGACCTCTGTTGATATAGATTCTACTGACATAAACTACTATACAATCTGTCATCACTGAAACCGTGAGATCTCCTTGAGTTCTCCGGCATGATGGTGCACCGACGAGCAGGTGGTGCAGTATACCCTAGGCAAAACAGAGGAAACTGGATTGATAAAGGGAAATGTTATCGTGGCCTAGCTGAAGAGTTTTATACCAGTTGACAATAATTTGACGCATGTACTCCACAATGACTCTGCCAGCTGTGGCAATCATTAGTTGGCTTCAAGCTCTTCACCGTCGTCATATTCTCCTTCATCTTCGGCGCTTGCATCCTGATACTGCTGGTATTCAGATACCAGATCATTCATATTGCTCTCTGCCTCAGTGAACTCCATCTCGTCCATTCCTTCACCTGTGTACCAATGCAAGAAAGCTTTCCTTCTGAACATGGCAGTAAACTGCTCGCTCACTCGTCTAAACATTTCCTGGATAGAAGTAGAGTTTCCGATGAAAGTGGATGCCATTTTAAGCCCATTGGGAGGAATGTCGCAAACACTGGATTTCACGTTGTTGGGGATCCATTCGACGAAGTACGACGAGTTCTTATTCTGGACATTGATCATCTGTTCGTCGACTTCCTTGGTGCTCATGCGCCCGCGGAACATGGCTGAGGCTGTAAGGTAACGTCCATGACGAGGATCGGCGGCGCACATCATGTTCTTCGCATCCCACATTTGCTGAGTGAGTTCAGGCACTGTCAGAGCACGATATTGTTGGGAACCTCGAGACGTGAGGGGTGCGAATCCCACCATGAAGAAGTGAAGTCGAGGGAATGGGATCAGGTTTACGGCAAGCTTTCGGAGGTCAGAGTTCAATTGACCGGGAAACCTCAGGCAGCAAGTAACACCACTCATTGTGGCTGATATCAGATGATTGAGATCTCCAACTGAGAAGAGACAAACAATTAATTAAAAAATGTAGAAACATTCCGATGAAAACCAGAATAGAAATAGAACGCATTTGCCATGACTAAACAGGCGTCTGACTTACATGTAGGGGTGGTCAGCTTCAGAGTACGGAAGCAAATGTCGTACAATGCCTCATTATCCAGAACCATACACTCGTCCGCGTTTTCTACAAGCTGGTGGACAGAAAGAGTAGCGTTGTAGGGCTCCACGACTGTATCGGACACCTTCGGCGATGGGAAGACAGAGAAAGTGAGCATCATCCTGTCCGGGTATTCTTCACGGATCTTGGATATCAGCAGGGTTCCCATACCTGAACCGGTACCTCCTCCCAGCGAGTGGCAGACTTGGAAACCTGCAACGGGGGAAGGAGAGAATACACTGAATCAGCTGCAAGGCGCACACCCGTTAAAAAACTGATATTCGCCTGGACACAACAATCAGGCTCGACAGGGAAACTGGATCTTACCCTGCAGGCAATCACAGCTCTCCGCCTCCTTTCGCACGACGTCAAGAACAGAGTCAATCAATTCCGCTCCCTCCGTGTAGTGCCCCTTGGCCCAATTGTTACCGGCCCCAGTTTGGCCAAAGACAAAGTTGTCTGGTCGGAAGATCTGACCAAACGGACCAGATCGAACACTGTCCATCGTTCCGGGTTCGAGATCCATGAGCACAGCACGTGGAACGTACCTACCACCACTTGCCTCGTTGTAGTAAACATTAATCCTCTCCAACTGAAGATCGGAGTCTCCGCGGTAAGTTCCAGTGGGGTCGATCCCATGCTCATCACAGATCACTTCCCAAAACTTAGCTCCGATCTGGTTCCCGCATTGCCCACCCTGGATGTGGAGAATTTCTCTCATGGTTGCGAACTGGCCTACAATCACCCGAAAACAGCTCAGTTTCAGAACATGCCTCGCCTACATCTGCAAGCAGGTCTTCGATGCAAGGATTCTACGCGAAACATCGACTTCCTTGGTCCAAGAACAACGAAGACAGTTCCCGCGGACAATGTCACAAAGCTCTGCTCGGACTTCGACAAAGCTAATCGTCTCTTGTTACAAAAACTATGCTCCTCAACAACTCGCGTCTGCTGCTCGTCTATTGTTACAAAACTAAATACTCCTCAACAACTTGCGTCTGCTGCTCAGCGCAGCAGAGAACCACGCGCGGGGGCAGCATTGACACCTCCGCCTCACCCGTCGAGTTTTCAGACCTTAATATGCACTTTCAAAATGTTCGCTTGATGCTCGGCAGATCAAACACAAGAAAATGTTTCAGAACGCCAGAAAGACCCACATCAATTAACCCGTGTTCTAGCGATCACCATTCGACCAAAAGCAAGCACTCGGACGCAATGTGCGTGAGTTGGGAGGAAGGCAGACGAGCCATGCGTACCTGGACGAACGAGCGATCGAGCAGCGAGCGGACAGGAACGCGAGGAAGGAGGGAGGGAGGGAGAGAGGAAGAGAGCGATGCAGCAAAAGCGTAGCGGGGAAGGGAGGAGCTCTTGTCTTCAGACGAAGACGGGAGAAGCTTCTAATCGCAGAGCTTACGCCCTGGAGCGCAAATATCACTAGAATGGACGGCCTCGATGGAGGTTATCTACGGATGGAACGGTGTCCGGTCCTAGGGTTCAACCTACCCGCGGGTGGAGCGTGGACATCCGGGAATCCAAGTCTCCGACCGCAGGATAACTTTAGGCAAGGTCGACGGGAAAACGGCGCGCATTTTAAAAAGACGGACCTGCCGGGAAAGAGCGGGAAACCTCGCCTTCCAACGGGTTCCAGCGTCTCGCTTGCGTGCTCGGAATCCCGGACCTGCACATGGGGCCGGTTGACGACAGCCGGATTCCCGATGCCAATTTGAATTTTTGGGCCCGATTCGAAATTTTCGACCGTTAGATCGCTCATAAAGATCGCCCTTCGCGGTCGCCGTCCTGGAACCGAGACAGGGCTCTTGTTCAGACGCCTGCACAGACGATTTTGTCCGCAGCGGACGCCAGCGGAGCCTCGTTTGTTTGTCGGCGTGACTCTGAGCCTCTGATCCATCTCGCGCGTTTCCTGTGTCGAGCCTCACTGGCTTCGCTTCCCGTCCTCTGCCACGTTCGCGGTTCGCCAAAGGTTCTTGACGCTGCCCTTCCACCGAACCCCATCGCCAAGTTCTCGGGGCACGTGGCAGCAGGTTCCCGGTTGTCAGATCCATGTGCATCGACCTCCTAACGGAACCGATCGTAACGAGGTTTTCGCGACCCTTCCGACCCGGCTGACTGGAATTCCCCGTCGGCGGGCACTCTTGGTGCGGCAACTTGGCAGGTCGGGACTCGAGGCCGATGACCCGTCGCGCGACTTTACCTTTTGTTCTTCTGTCGGGCGCTGAACACCATGTGCTCTGGAACCGGGTCGACGAGGATGACGGAGCCCCTCGGTGTAGTATGTACCCTACGGTCGCAAGTGTGGGAGTTGTGGCGTTAGTACCGCTGTATACAACTGTTGTTTTCCAGTCGTATTCACTTTTGCGCTCAGTACTTCTGTCTACACGCAATGCCTCTGACGCTGCAATGAAGACAAATATGTTTCGAGCCGTCAGAAATGCATGACTCCACATGACAATTACTCCAAAGACCAATGTAATCCAGTCAAACGCTTATCGTTCTTACTCTTCGGTGAAGTAAATAGTGAACTTTTTATGAATTCAACGATCAGTATTGTTTCCATCATGTCAATACCGTTTCTCTCGAGGATGATTAATACTGTTATGTACATTATTGAAAAATGTACTTCAATAGGTATTTACATTTTTAATCTAAAACACCACTCATCACCTTACTATTTAGCAAACTAAATATGATATACAAAACTCGCTATAAAAACTGTTAGTGATCCCTGCACGTTTTAGTAATGGAATGCTGTTCACACCAAATTTGAAGCTTGACTTGAATGAAACTATAACTTTTAACTGCTCCATACTGTTAAATAAATGGTCTAATGTAGATATTCTACTCGGAATAAGGTTCTCTTCTGCTTATTTTTCAGAAACAAACTTGATGATAAATCCTCTTCATTCGCATTCCTTCCGAAGTTGTATTATTATCCACATAATAACTGTAGTATATTTATACTATTTTATGTTCCAAACTTGCAGAACTAAACTACCATAGATTTCTTAAAAGAAATGTCAAAAAATGATCACAAGTACTTTCAAAATACTTATGAACATGATTACTTCAAGGTTTGTCGAGCAATTACTTATAAGCCATACGATACATCACATTATAAATGTAATCATTGAACCATTAAGTCGCCAATTTATCTTCTAGACTTATCATTATCATCATTCGATGTTGAAAAACAAAATACACTTAACAAGAAACTGTTAGTCACTATACTCACAAATTGAATTGTATTACATTTCACTTTTGTGTCCTGTTGCAAATGGATATATCGGGAAAATAATTGGACATTTTAACTTGCTAAAATATCTATTTTGGGGTTAGATTACCGAAAACCACCAACAAATGCATCATAGAATAGTTGTAGACATCATGGTTATTTGTGTTTGTTGTAAAGTTCTAGAATGGTTTTTACATCACATCTTATTGAATGAACTACAAGTGATGCAGTATCTGTCAATGCCATTAAATATGTAACTATGAAGCCAAGTCACATTTCTCGAGTCTGGAATTTTATTGAGTTATAAACATGAAATTAAAACAATATTCTATGGTCTATCATACTATAAACCATATGTCCAATAGTTTGTAACTTACTTTAAGCATCAGTATTTCATTGCACTGACTAGTGCTACAGGAAAAAAACAATCTACATATATAATTTGACTTGAGATATTTATGTTAATGCTTTTGCTCATTGTAAATGATTTATCTATATAATATCGAAATTTTAATCAATATAGGTAATATTTTCTTTGTGTATGATTGTAGCTCATTTGGTTTTCCTCATGGTCGAAAATTTTTGGTGTCATATTAATTTCATCGGTTGACTTTATATAGTGGCAATTATGATCAAATCTTCAGACATTGAGAATTTATTGTAATTAAATATATGGTTTGACATCGTGATATTATAATTATGTAATTCACTTCCTATAATAAGGAGTAAAACATATATAGCTTGTATCTATCTTTTTTTGCTTATTTGTTCATTTTTTTTCTATTCATGGTTATAAGATATATATAAAAACTAAAATCATTCAAATATGTTCAATTCGAACAAATAGTTCAATGCGAATGGAAACTATTTCTTAATAAAAAAAGTTAAGTTTTATATGATTGTTATAGAAAACAACTTTATCTATAATTTTTCAAATAACAAAATGTTAAGTTTAATCTAATGTGTTGAAGCACAATTACAATAAAACTGAAATAGAAATAAATATCATTTTTTAATAACATCAATACAATTTTTTTAAAAATCATTAACAATGTAATGATAAATATATATGTAATTATTTTGGGTATAAAAATCATCAATTTGAATATGAATTATTAATTTATTCAAACTCAATTACTCAATCTTTAAAAATAAATTAAAAAAATATTTTTTTATTTGTAAAAAATGTTTAAAACAAAGAAATTTTTCAAAGGATTCAAAAAAATTTTCTCAATCAAATGCTCATCAGCACAAATCCCAACATAATATTTCATATACTTCAACACATCGATATTTTATTGACTAAATTGTGACAAAGCCATAAACAAATAAATTAAATATGTATATAAATGTGAATTTTAACTACAAAATTTTACATTATGAGTTAGTAAAAGAAAAATAACACAAATGCATCTTATCTAATATTGAAAATACTCACATAGTTTATCTGAAAAGTTCAACTTATCTTTAAATTGATCATCATGAAGTTAGTTTTAAAAAATTAAAAAACATACAAATCTTGAGGCATGTCACTCAGATTTTTTTATTTTTAAATATTTGTGCATAGAAATAAATCATAAAACAGACCATGCATACATTATTACATGCCAATGTCTAACGGATTCTCTCTAACGGATTTTTAATTTAATGGGAAAAAATTAATCATGTATTTTGTAGTATGCTGAATGAAGTAATATATTCCAATTATGCCATGCTACTATACAAAGAAAAAAATCGATAATAATATGGTTTTTGTTGATAATAAACGTCTAGCTTTTTTCTAAAAGTATATATGAAACAAAGTTCCGAGAATATGTTATTAGAACTTGTATAGATAAACAAAATTGTTTTGATATGTGCTATAATGCATAAGTAAGGAAGAAAATACAGATTTTTGCAGTGAAACTCTATGTGTAAGTTTCCATTTGGTGTATATGTAATTTGTGTCACTTATGTTTCTTAAAACATATACTGAATCAAGAATATAATATGCTAAAATACTGTATAAATTTGTATTATACACATGTTTTGAATATGGTTTTGTACACTTCCAAACAAATATATGTTATGCAGAGATTGTGCAAGTTATGATATATTATGTTTTATGATATTATTTTAAGTTTATTGCTTCTAAAAGTGACATTAGAGATTTAATTTTAATTCTGTGTGTACGTGTATGTAGTTGGTACATGTTTGCAATATTAAGTAAGTTTATATGGAGTTTAGCATACAACTAGGTATATCTTAGATTATTTTTGATAATTGTGTGTATTTCCGAATTTATACTACTTCTTATTTGGTTTGTGAGAAATATCTGTATAAGGAATGTTTGAATTAAATATATTGAAAATTTTACATTATTTAATTATAAAAAAACTGAACAATTGAATGAAATTGTAAAATCAATAAATCTGGATTCTTTTTTTGATACGAGTTTTTAGTTTATAAAATCAAACACATACATGTTATCATGTTACTAAATTGTATACAAAACATATGAATTTTTTTACATTTTTTACATTTGATAATATTTTTTTGAATTTTTCGGTAAGTGACATACATCAAATCTGCAAATCATGAGATATGTGAAAACAAAATATTTTTTAACATATTTTATTAATTTAATAAATAAATTTTTTGATTTCTGCTATTTAATTTCATGTATTATTAATGTCAAATTTTATTTTATGTTTTCTATTTCGTTGAATTTTATATTTTTGATATTAAATATCATATATATTTTGCAAAAATATAAATAAATACTTGAATCATTTTCAAAATAAGCTATAATTAAGTATAACAAAATTTCAGTAACTTGTGTTTTATAATGATGTATACACACGTAATATATATTTTGTAATCACCTTATGATATAGATTGGATTGAAATGTAAATCTGACTGTTATGTTAACTTTATTTTTGCCAAATCGTTTTTCAATATACATACAATGAAAGAATAAAAGTTTAATCATCTAATCATATATGTGATTTGGTGAAGATAAGACTTAGAATTGTGAATATGAAAAATATAAGATAGAAGAATAATTATATTATTTAAAACTTTTTTTTAATCAATACAAAATATTGTATATTATCAATTTGTGTGTAAATGATTTGAAACCAAAAAATCGAAACTTTGTATTTTCAGTGATTTCTATAATGTGAAGTTATAACACTCTATCATATCATGATGCATGCATAAGCACAACGTGTTATGTTGATTAGAATCTCAAGAATTGCATTTTGATTAATAAAAATAATGAATAATCCACAATTTTAAAAGTATATATATAATGATTTATTATTCTTTTATCAATTTGAAGTTTTTCAAAGTGTATCTCTATAATCTTTTATTGACAATTTAGAATGAAGCTTTTTATATATATATATATATATATTGTATCAATAATTAATTTTACTATGAATTTTCAAGAAATAGTATATCAATAATATAGAATATATTTATTTACACAAATGTATCTAAAACAATGTTATAATCATGAAGATTACAGCTCAAATCTAACAAGTACATGTAACATATTTGATATTTCTATATAGTTGAAATTTTGTATCATATTTTGGATAAAAATACACTTTTAATATTCATAATTTCTAACATGAATTTGTATGTTTGTAACATATAAATGAATTTGAATGCAAACAAAGAAATGAACGTGATGAATGTTTGATTGCTAATCACAATAACATTTGCAAGAATTAAAATATTGATAATAGTATGTTATTTATTCACATACACGCATAAAAGTGTAATAGATCGGAAAAGGTAATTGAGTAAAAAGATATTGCTCCATAGAAAACAAGGAGCAACATCCATATAGTATTTTGCAATTGAAATTGAACATTTGCATATATATATATATATATATATATATACAATTGAGATATAAATATGAACACAATTTTGTGGGGGATAAATAATTATTTATAAAATTCGTGTTTTAACCAACATGAAGTTATAAACAGATGAAACTTATAAAATTATAATGCTGTTAAATAATCTAGATTTTGAGATATTTGAAGCCATCAGCAACTACTTTGATAAGATTGTTTAGAGAAAAAGTTAGAATATTTCATCTTAAATTATAAATAATACTGGAAGAGCCAAGCATTTCAGACAATTGTATTTAATATTTTTTTGTTTACTATAAATTTACTTAGTTCAGATATATATTTTGAACTAGAGAACTAGCTTATGAGATTAATAGGAGATTCTCCAAAGTTGGCTATGTTTATTAATATGATATTTTATTATGTAGAACATTTGTCCGATTTAGCTGATTCCTTCAATGGCTGTAGAAAGTTATATCTACACTATTACTCTTTGTTTTGGATTTGTATGTAACTATAAATATTATCTTCTACATTTAAGTTACAAAATGTAATCCATTATTAGGTGACATTAATATATTTTTCTTGATTTCTTGCGCGGACTGATGTTTATATAGCAAGTCGATTTCTTCTGTAGAGAACATTCAGAAATGTTCAGATATTATACATATGATAGAATGAGATGATGCTCATGTTTTGTAAATTGAATTAATATGTGTAGCAACAACGAGTTTCTTCGGTGAAATTATTTGAGTATATAACTCGTTGATTATGTAATTTCATGGAAGTGAAACCAAATATAAAGTAAAATTCTTTCATCTCAAGGGAAAAATTTACCTTAGATTTAAGAAGAACGAAAACACAATTACATGTAGATAGTTTCCGCATTTTAGAGGGACGAAGACATCACTCTCATTGTCAAGGGCTAGGACCTTGTTGTTCTTCCCATATATGCTGCTATATCTTCATACTACGAACCGGTGGACATAGAATACAGTACAGGTCACATCGTGCATGAGGTTGCGGTGAGAGGTTACAGAGATGTGGAGGTGAGGCGAGAAACCGATAAACAGCGGTACAGAGAACTTTGGTGAAGAGCTATGGCGATGAGGACGACGAGTCCGTCGCTCAGCTCCGCAGCTTCGTTGGGATATCTCCTACAGAATCCACATTCTCTGGCATGGTTTGCCACGATGCCTACATCTGGCTCTTGCATTCGATCGCTTTCTCGTTTCGTCTTTCCTAGCTCCAAGCCGTCATTTGCTGGCGGAATTGCAGTGTCGAATTTGGCCGGTACCAAAATCTCTACCTACGGTCATGGATGCAGAGGAGTATCTAGATTATCTTTCGTCTCTCCTGCTGCCTCAAATCTACACTTTTCCACATCTTCTGTTATGGGATTCGAATTGAGTAGTGACAACCAGTGTTTCAGCGTCGGTAAAAAGGTACGGAGGGGAAGTAGTAGAGTTAGAGCTGGACTAGATGGAGATGATGGTATCACGCTTGAGGAGGAGCAGAAATTGGACAGGGGAAAAAATTTCGTTGTCACTACACCCCTGTACTATGTCAATGCGGCTCCGCATATGGGCAGCGCTTATCCGACCATTGCTGCGGATGCCCTTGCCCGATTCCAGGTACTCTCATCCACAGTGTGGTTCGAATTATCTATTTTCATTCCTGAATTACGAGATGGATGATTGTTCAGATTTAAGTGAATTTGCTGTGATGTTGATCAGAAGAACTTCGTCTCCTCAAAATTGGACTTGCCCATGCATGAGACAATTGAATTTAGCTCCTAATCCCGTGAGGGATTTTTGCTGCCCTCTATGACCAGATTCTGTTTACAGATGCCATGAAGCCTTGAATGCTTTGCTTGTAATGTTTCATGTATCATCCTTTTCCCTCGCTCACTCTGGTTTAGACGCTGACTGTGGAATTCATTAATAGAGGTTACAAGGACGCAGGGTCGTATTCATCACTGGCACAGACGAGCATGGAGAAAAGATTGCCACCGCTGCAGCTGCGCAAGGTCGTGAACCTAAGGACCATTGTGATGTCGTTGCTGCTGAATATCAAAGTCTGTGGAAAGAGGTAAAGTCCTGCAACTTTTGTCTTTGATATCATTCTAGCGAGGTGCCAGACTCATACCGTTCGCAGACGTCGTTATTGTGTCTGAACAGTGCGACGATCACTGTATGTTGGTGTTTAAATCTTGCATTGCACTGTCTGTGAGATTTTTAAAATCAGCCACTTTTTTGTTTTTGCAGTTGGGTATAGATTATGACAGATTTATTCGAACCACCGAGGCTAATCACGAAAAGATAGTTGATGAATTCTACCGGCGAGTATTGGATAAAGGAGACATTTATCGGGCTCAATACGAGGGACTTTATTGTGTTAACTGTGAAGAGTACAAGGTACGAAAGCTCCAGTATATGCTTGAAAACATCTTTGAAGGGGATTGTGTTGGCTGTGTACGAACTACTAAATGCGGAAATCAGACAAACTGTTTTTTTAAAAAAAAAGCAACAGATTGCCCCAAAACCAGCCTGTGGACTTACTACGTCATAGATACTTGTATCTACTTCATCTCATCTCAAGTTTCTTACAGGACATCAGTTTTAACTCCTTCCTTTGTTTACTTATTCTGAAGTATTCTTTATGTTATGGCACTTCGGTAAGACTGACGATTTCTGTGGGTTACCAAATGACGAAAGTTCTGGAACAGAATGTCCGTAGCTGTATGGAAATTCGTCATCAGCACCGGTTGTGTTGTACTGTTTAATATAGCAGGAGTGAACACAGACTCATACCAAGAAAAGTCTTGCTTGAGGAGCTCTTTTATAAGAACAAAGCTAGGTCTTGGACTACAAAGTGGTCTTGATACTGGTCATTTAGGAAGATAAATATTCTATTTGGAAGTCGAATTGTTGTTGAAATGCACGTGGCAAATGGGGGAAAGTTTTTGCTGGCAGGATGAGAAGGAGTTGATGGAAGATAATTGCTGCCCAATTCATCGTAAGCCTTGCGCCGAAAGGAAAGAGGATAATTACTTTTTTGCTCTATCAAAGTATCAGCAGGCTATCGACGATCTTCTGACTTCGAACCCAAACTTTGTCCGGCCTTCCTTCCGCTTGAACGAGGTAAAAGAGTCCGAAGGACATTGTTGTCTTGTTTCCGACTCTCAAGATTATTTACTTGCCTGTGTCAGAGCTGTTCTACTATCGGTGTTGGTCTAGAAAATTTACTTCTTAATTTCGATCATCTAAGTAGATGGTTCCAGATCTGTAGTATCCACTGTGGAGAACACTCGGGTGATTAATCTTGGAGTGCGCCTTTCATAAAAAATGTCTGTTTTCGCAGGTACAAGGATGGGTAAATGATGGATTGCGAGATTTTTCCATTTCTCGAGCTGCCGTAGAGTGGGGTATCCCCGTTCCTACAGATTCTAAGCAAACCATATATGTGTGGTTTGACGCCCTCTTAGGGTAAAGTTTGACAAACTTTTCGTTGTCAAGTTGTTGACATGTTCCTGTATGTCACCAGGAAGCCATGGTCGATGTTAATCCCTTCAATGTATTGTATGTCGTACTTATAAGTTTGCTCAATGATTAGCTCTCTCTTCCTTTCAGACTTGGAAACAGAAAGTAGCAATGTGAAGGTGCTGCCCTGAGTTGCTTTCTCCTTCCAAGTCTGACCTCAAAGGATGTTGGGCATCTTTATTGCCTCCGAAATGTGCATGAAGTTGTTTTGCAGGAGTTGTGTCTAGCTAAGTAGTACGTAGATGCTATTAGTTTTACAATAAATGCGAGATTACAAGAGAGTGGTGCACTTTTTTATTCAAGCCGGAGCGGGTGTTTCTGACCCTAGTATATATCTCTACTGAATGAATATATATGTTACAATGCGAGCAGAAATATTTTAAACTCGACGTCCGGTATCTTGCAGTTACCTTTCAGCTCTTTTGGAAGAAGGGAAAGAACCAGGTGTCGACAATGCTGCTGCAGGTGGTTGGCCCGCATCCGTCCATATAATTGGCAAGGTGCGGCACCGCTCTTTTGAGTGACATGGTAGAGAGGTTATACCGAAGCTGCTGCAGAAATTGTCGTGTACCCTCTGAAAATAGTTGAGAGCGTGATCATTGAGATGGGAAGTACATCACAAACTCATATTGTTTTGAAGTATATAATTCCCTTGGATATGCAGGACATTTTGCGGTTCCATGCTGTGTACTGGCCAGCGATGCTGATGTCCGCTGGTCTTCCTGTCCCGGCTGCTGTTTATGGTCATGGCTTTTTGACCAAGGTAAAGGAGCAACTTCACTGTAAATACTCAATCCAGAAATTTGCCGCGCACGATATAGTTGTCCGAGTGGGCTTTTGTTGGTTGAATTGGAGCACTGAAGTTTAGCTCTTGCTTTTGTCAAATTCGCTTAGCGCTTGGCGGATAGCGTGAAAAAAGATTTTACGTCATCTGAAGCTGGATGAACATCATGTTTGAGTCATGCAACTCAAGTAAAGTTGTTTTTTTCCTGCAGGATGGTCTCAAGATGGGCAAGTCGTTGGGGAACACATTGGAGCCCAAGGACCTAGTGTCTAAGTTTGGACCCGATGCCGTAAGATACTACTTTCTCAGAGAGATAGAGTTTGGGAAGGATGGAGATTTTTCAGAAGAACGCTTCATCAATATTGTCAACGCAAGTTTAGCCAACACAATAGGTGAATATACTTATCAAAAGCTCTTGATTGATCAGTCTTAAGTTTACACATTGTTTACGCATCTCATCTCTCTAGTAGCTTTGCCAATGACGAGCAAATCATGATTTTGTATGAAGCCATCGGTGCTACTAGATCTCATGTTTGCTGTCTCGGTAAATCCGAGTGTAGTGTACTACGTTATCAACCTACCCACCTATGACTGCTGCTGCTTGTTCGACTATTGTGACTTAACTTCTTCTCACATTTCTTGTCTGGCAATCCATACAGGAAATCTTCTGAATCGCACCCTTGGACTCTTGAAAAAGAACTGCAACGCAACAATAGCAGTAGATTCTAGCACTATTCCTGAAGACCACATAGTTCGAAAAGTTGCTTCCGAATCAGTACGTCAAGCGCTTTAAAGTACCCCTATTCATTGATGGAATAACCAGGTTTCATATTTCCGTCGTTTACTCCACTTTCTGGGAGTTTTTCATTTCTACGTGATAGGTTCTCATCAACTGTCTTTGTTACACAAGATAACTGATGAGATTTGAGAGCTGCACACGTTCTAAATTAACTGTAAGCCGGTCGTTTCATAATTTCTGGGTGACATTATTTTACAGGTGAAAACAGCAAATAGAGACTTCACTGAGTTGAACTTTTCGGGTGCATGCGATGCTTTGCTAGCTATTGCCACGGCAGGAAATTTGTACCTGGATGATAGAGCGCCTTGGTCTAGGTTCAAAGCTGGTGGATCCTCTGCTGAAGAAGCGGCGCTGGTCAGTTTTCGTGACGCACCTGTATTATGAGTAATCAAAGTACTTTCAAGTAATTATGTCCGAAAAATATTCATATATCTTCCACATGAAATCCCTGAAGAGACCTAAGTGTCTCCGCTGGTGTCTCCGGACATGTGTGCAGGACTTGATTGTTGTCTCAGAGGTGGTCAGGATTGTAGCTGTTGGTTTGTCACCTGTTGTCCCAGAGTTTTGCCGCAGAATCTACGCTCAGCTCGGATTCACTGAGGAGGTTTTCCGTGCAATTACTTGGGTAAGTCAGCTGATTTCTGCTTTTGTTCATGATTGTGTGCAGCTCTGTGTGGAGTGCATAAGAGATTTATAGTGGAGGCCTGCTCCAAACATACTTTATTTCAACTGTATGAGAGAAAATCTGTCCTTTCGCTCTGTCCGTTAGTCATTCATGTCCTCCTCTCCTCACTCTTCTCTTTTAATCATTTCTAGCATCTTGTGTATCCAGTCCCCACTTCAGCTTTTGCGCTCAGATTGTCTTACTCACACTGGCATGAAGTGATTCATCCGAAGGATGATGTCGTATGCTCGATTGTGATGCTATACTTGGTGAGGATGTCAAGTTTGCTTGTTTTCTGGGAATTGAGCGTCTTACGTGGGCTTGTGACGATCTGGTTCTTGTCGTTTGACAATTTTCAGGAAGACACTCAGTGGGGTGGTCTGAAGGCGGGGCAAGTCATGGTTGATGCTCAACCCATATTCAAAAGGATTGAGGTTCTAGAAGAGGAAGCGGGAAACCCTCCTCCTAAGGCAAAAGGCAAGAAAGAAGGAAAGAAGAGCAAGCAAAAAGCGCCAGCTGCTGCTGCAAGTAACAGTGTATAATAAGCGCCGACATTCTTGGATCCCACAAGAAAGGGATTGAAGTCTTCCAGATGTATGAATTTATTTATTTTCCTCCAGAAAGAAGCTTTTCTACAGTCAGTATTTTTCTCTCACAGCTCCGGTGTTCGTTTGGGACAGCGCAAGTTGGAGTCTCGAACTGAACGCTTCTTGCGTGCATCTTAGCCTTCTGAAGTGGAACAGGACAAACCTGTTGAAAGTGCTTCGAGTCCATAGAGAAACCAGATTGTCCAGTCCTTAAGCAAGTTGTCATAGTTAAACGACCAAAGTTGTCATCTGTTTGAACGCCAGTGGGCTTTGCAATCTTGCATCCAAGTAACGTTTGTTGTACTGGGCAGTCAGATGTGTTATCTGGGTCATCGTTTTTCTTACATGGAATTGTCCGTCCTGGTTGGATTTTAAGTACAAATCGCAATTTATTCACTCCAATTGAGTGAGAACCAGATGTACTGACTCCCTCACATTGTGATTACTCATGTGTTCCCTCGGGTCCTTGTAGCTCTCAAAATTTCCTACAAGCCAACTGTGCATACCAATTCATCAGTTTCATACATATTCGAGCGAGAAGATTTATGTCTTACTTTCCTTGCGGCACATACACAGCGAACCCAATTTGTTAGCACGCATTAGTTAGGAACCTCGAAAAGCCGTACAGCCTCTGATTTCTCCGTCAGGATACAATTTCTCTACAATTTTGCAATACTGAGCCACTCAGGTTCAATGGACAGTAAGTAAATTCATCTGGGTTAGCCACATTGGAAAGTATCAATGGTCAAATAAGACTTGTATAATAAGTTATCTTTCCAGTCATACAAGGAGATGTTTGTAGATTCCGAAGGCTACAAGATATATGGATTCTCAATGGAACTGGATTCTTGCCATTGTTGCCATTGTAATTCGATAGTCTTATCTTGAGGAGAGGTTGGAACACAGCTGTGAAACCAATTGCTCACCCATTGCAAAGTCAGAGTTGCTGGAAGGTCTGAGCTCAATATTTTGTATCTTTTCTCAATCTGATTCTGGCAAATTCTTGTGATTTAATGTAAGCGATTGTCTGAGACGTAAAGCCGCAAGTCAACCAGGTAGTAAACAATGAGTCGTAACCTTGCAGTAACTATTGAACTCTGCGTCCACTTTCAAAGTTTTTGGTTCGAATGGGAAATACAGCAGCAGTTGTTTGGAAGTTTTGATGCAGTTCAGAGTCTAAATTCAGACGGAGAGAGTATTCAGCATACGATTGTCATATCAGGATCTCCGTGGACAATCAAACTTAAACAACCATGTAGTTCTGTACGTCACCCTAATGATGATGTGCAGCCAGTGCCTCTGGCCACACTACCGCAACGTAAGGCTGCATGGACGTGCGTTTACTTTACGTTCGCTTCCTATATTTTTTGGTCTGGGTGGGCCATGATCTTTTCTTGTCTTTCGAATATTTTCCGTCATGATCACGCTGCATCACTCTGTCAGATCTACAAAGTTCTAATCACCCTCGACTTGTTGGCGATGCTCATAACCTCAGTATAGAGCCAAGAACTTGGGCTCCAGTTTGCTGTATGGAGCTCAAGTTCTTGGATTCCCTCATAAAAATTGTTGAGTCATGGAGTTTCGAGGAAGGAGAGCAATACTTGGTTCCCAGTAGATAAGAGAAGCTTACTAGTTTATCAAAGGGACAGGGCAGAAGCTGTACCAGGCAAGTTGCCGGAGAAGATTTGGGGTGTTTGGACCTAGGTTTGAGCGGGATTGGATAGAATACTTGGAAATTTATTTTGGTAAGAAACTTCATCATGTGCTTAGCACACAAGGGACTACGTTCTCGAAATGACTGGCTAAAATGTGCAAGTCAGATCTACAATTCGGTAAATTTCTTCGCAGATAGGCCTGGGGAGAGATACATACTGTCGCAGATTTGTGGAGCAAAGTCTCGCTAGCTCATCGAAGAAACTAGGCGAACTTGAGACAATCTCTGGGAGTCCATTGCAGTATACTGTCAATCAACATATGAACGCGGGGCCAATCAACTTCTCAATGTAACGCGTTCAATGTTCGTCTTTACTAACAGGGGTCTATCAGATCGTATACACAGTTATCAGGCAGGCTTGTGTCATTATGATCACTTCAACTCTTCTGATAGTAATTCATCAATACGAGAACGAACTTAAGTCGTTTCAAGGTTTCCAGCTACTTCTGATCACTTAAAACAACCTCCGCACCATTCCTCGGAAGGTCCTCAGTGTCGCACAATAGTGTGTACAGGCAGATCGCCGAGTTGTCCTCGTCACCTGCCAGCTCCCGGAGTGATCGACTACTACACCTTTCATGCCAGCGTCGATCAATTGTGGCATGTTTGAGAGACGCTGGGAGTTTATGGAACGGCTCCGATAGATCCAGATTGCTCGGATGCATAGTCTTTGTTTAGAACCAAGCTATGAAAAGTGTTAGAATAATCGATTTTCAACGTCCAGGATTTCGGTTACAGCTAAGGGTAATATCACTCACCTGGATTCACTCAACTCTCTTGATGTGGAGGGAGGTCTAATGCCTCGTTCAATCTATTTATTGGGAATATAATATGGTCAAGTTGCCCAGTCGTATTTACACGATAGAAACATGAATGCACTACGCAGACAAAAACACCATTTGGAGTCACGGATGAAAGTCTACTTTATATCTTTAGTACCCCCAAGTAGCTCTTTAAATATTACTTTAAGATCTCGACATGACCCATTTCAATGTTTACTTTTGAACCATTTCTTTTGTAACTTGTACAATGACTTTTGCATGGAATATAATATGTTATTCCAATTAGAAATTATTTTTTCTATAATACTAATCAATTTCCACATATGCTGATTATTATTATGGTCAAGTATAATCTCATAAAAACGATAAAATACATATGGATAAACCTGTATGTTACCTTTTAATATCACATCGAATTCTTTAAATGATATAATTAGTAGTAGGTTAATAGTAACGTCCGATCGCTCATTATTTTCTCCGAATCACTTGGTCACTGACCCACTGAAGAAAGTTTTATTTCGGCATAGATGAATATTCAGATCTTGCAAGTTGGAATGATGTCCAGTGGTACACGACACGATCACTCTGGCCGGGTAGACACTGCACAAGCATTAATCTGATAAAGTTATATGATGGTATCGATCAAGATTCACAGCCGGCCGAAGGTCTTCCGACAGCATATCGAAGGAACAAACACCAGCTCATTAAGGACATAATAGATACAGATCGTGAAATATTCTCTGCGTGATCTCAGCTTGTACAGTGAAAGAGCATACCGGGAAGACAGTATAAGAGGTTTGACCGACTGGACGTTTCCTATCATGAGCTCCGATGGCGTTTGTTGTGTAAGAGCTGTCGTGGCTCACTCGCACGGTCTCCGGTTCCCGTCCTGCAGAAAACAACTCAAGACGACGTTGTGAGTTGACTTACGATATTTGCACACATGGCGGAGTAATTTGAATGCTTCGGTCGTTGACGTAGAATTCTAGACAGTTTTTATCTAAATATGTTCCAATGCAGGAGCAACAGCTCTTTGACCTTATGCAAGAACGTGTTTCAACACCCAAGAGCTTCTGTTTGGTGCAGCAATTATTTATCCACACTGTACTTTCTCTTCAGACTTTTGAGCAGAATTAGGAGCTGCTATAAATGCCGACTGCCGTCATGTATCTGAGTGTGATATTGTTAGAGACTTCTGTGAGCCTCTAAGTACTTGAACTCCATGCTCTAAGATATCTCCGGCGGTTGTATTCAGGGACGAGAGAACCGGAAACAGGAAAGAGCCAGCCCAGTGCGGTGTTGCCACGACGAAGTAGTAGTGTAGATTTGATCAGGAAAACTGATTGATCTTCATCCAAAGATTGATAAAGTTTCAGATCCGAAAGATAATTTAACTGGGGCAGCGACTTTTGTTGTTCAGCTCCGTCTCTTTCACAATTTAAACGAGCACTGAGTGCTGTAATGAAGGTCCAGGAGGTGATCCTTCTTATCCACGTTCTAGCGTTCAGCACGAGCCACTGGGTCTGTGTTCAGTCAGCCCCGATAGTCATCACCCGAACGACACTCCGAAATTGCATTTCCGGCTTCGTGGCCGGCGAGGTCACTTCCTGCTGTCCCCCAGACATCAACTTGAATGGACCGATCGTGGACTTCATTCCCAGACGCGATCGCATCAGAAACCCGCGCCTTCGCGTCAGGAAAGCTTTGCAATGCTTGAGTGGCCATGAGCTTGAGACGTACACCCAGAAGCTGCAAAGAGGGTACAAACTGATGAGAGCTCTGCCTCAGGACGATCCACGGTCATTGTTTCAGCAGAATGAAATTCACTGCGCTTACGGCAGCGGTGCTTTCATGCAAGACGGCATTCCGGGCAATCTGACCGTGGACATTCATTCCAACTGGCACTTTTTGCCTTGGCATCGGATGTTCGTATACTTTCACGAGAAGATTTTGCAGAAGCTGCTAAATGATCATAAATTCAGTCTTCACTTCTGGAATTTTGACAACGGAGTGAATGCCAACGAGACCGACTCGTATGGAGAACACAGGCACGGACCCAGAGGATGCTTCAAAGCTGGCCATTTTTTCCCACCTCTTTACAACGACAATTCGAGCTCCACTTTCCATGTCAATCGGTCCATCAGGCCCTTCATTCCCAACCTGCCCGTGGATTTATCGCTTCGCAATCGGAACGAGCCACCTCTGCGCTTTGCAGATGTCGCCGTTCCACGAAACCGAGAAGTGATGCAAAGAGCCATGGCGGCTGGTACAATCCCCAGGGACTTTTTCGGAATCGATATAAAGGTCGGAACTACTCGCAGCATTCCCCTTTCAGACGGAGGGTCTCTCGAGTTTTTGCCGCACAACAGCGTGCACCGGTGGATCGCAGGGTCCTCCTCGTCGTCCGCCACCGCCACGAAAGATCCCGTCTTCTACACCTTCCATGCCAACGTCGATCGATTGTGGCATGTTTGGGAGAAGCTTGGAATGAACCGAACGGCCCCAGCCGATCCAGATTGGTTGGGGGCGCAGTTTCTGTTCTGGGATGAGAACAAAGTTCTGAGAAGGATCAAAATCGGTGATTGCTTGAACATCGAAGACTTCGGGTACACCTACGAACCGGTGAATGATGCCAACTGGATGGATTCGGCCAACTCCCCCGACACCAGCCCACCGTAGGAACCTCGAGATCTGATGCTCCATCAGAGCTGTCATTCAAACAAGTAATGCCACAAGTGATTCAACCAGATGTAAAGCCTTGCAGGAAACTGAAATGTAGCTAGAGTTTCTTTGTTATAGGTTCCATCATTTAGAGAGTTATTAGAAACTCAACTTTGACTGGCTGCTCACCACTGATTGCAAGACGCAAGGCTTATGCAAACAAGTGAGTGCCGAATGCAAACACAGTAGAATTTTACATGAAAAGTTTTTGGTACCACGCGGGTCACACTCGAATCAACTCCAAAAGTGGAAAAGAATTTTGGTTTCAAGCCCGCTGACTGATCTGGCGAGTCAGGCAGGTAAGATCTTCACTGAATAACAAAATCGTTGAAATGAGAATGACATTTACTCTGAACACTCTCACCTTCAGTCCTGGATATGAACAACTGGAAGCATGCGCTTTCTTCTTAATTGAGCTTGCGTTTGTCGCCACGACGTCGTAGCTAATGTCAAGTCCCTATCATGCATGCATGGATTCATATTCGCGTAGTCAACAGATAGAGAATGGAAAGAAATTGGAGAAAGGAAAATCAAGTCACGAGAGATCAACAAACTTTTAATTGCTGAGGAGGAAAGTGGAATTTCTCACGATGCACCGGTCGCTCACTGCTGTCTACAGAATGTTTTTGCACGTGATTGTATGAACTTCGAGTTCACTTCGACGGAAGGATCACAGGACCAAAATAAACGAAGCGAAAGTAGACGCAACTGCAAGATCTGTGATCGAGCAGCGTCACCTTGCAGTGTCAGGAGGGATTGGCTGCTTTTGATAATGAGTGACACGAAGATGTATAAGATTGTTTGAGTGGTCAAGCTTGCCATTGGCGAATTTGATGATGTCATGCGCGAATTCAAATCCTACTACTAAGATTTCCCGTGAAAGATCACGTGATCTCTTTTCGCCTTACAGCCCCGTGTAATATATAGCCCCACCCGATCCACCTGAATGACATGTTCTCTGTTCAACCGGAGCTGGAAGATGAGATTGCGTGTACGTGAACTGCCGCTGAACGTCACCCATGCTTCGCCTTCAACGCCGGGCAAGTCCTCTGCACCTGGAGTCAAGTAGGCCACTTGCCCGATGTGCATATGGATTAGAACATAGAAATTCAAGAATTGGAAGAAATCAATATTCTCTCTCTGATAATTTATTCACCGACAAAATTTTTGTGAGATTTTTTCTTCTTCTCGGTGGTCTTCGGCTTGCAGACCTCAAGAAGACCTTTAGATCTGAGCCCGTTTAGCTGCTCATGCCCGAGACGTGCGTTAGATTTTACTTTCCCTTCAAAAACTTTGATGAACCTGGTCATATGATCCTTTCCCGTCCTCGGCAGTGTTAGTACATTCCTTTCACTTCTGACTGGCAATTTCAAATTACTGTTCTCAAATTATCCAGGTCAGACTAGTTTCCTCGCGGAACTGAAGTGGTTTGGGTCAGCTCGAATCCGTAGAGGAATTTCGCCGCCAGTTTCATTGCCCGCAATGTTGAAATCCCAAAGTTGTTCTGCCTAATTTCTAGTTGACTTGGAAAAGGTGAGGCTCTAGTGTTCAAAAAAATGATAAGTGCGTATTTTACTTTGGGTTGAGTCAGAGACAAAGAAAATAATAATTGTGAGATCACATCCAAAGCAGTCATACATGTATCACTACATTTATTACTTTGGTCGAGAGTTCATAATCTGAAGTAATGACTGGACTTTTTCGAAATGAATGATTTTACTCAAATTTTACACATTGATCAAAGAAAAATAAAATCATAAACAACACGAAAGAAGCGTTTGAATAATGTTAATGAATTACACCATGACATTTTTCCCTCATAAATTTGAATTTTATGTAAATGTATTGAATCTTAATAATATTACAATTTAGCTTAATATGTTATCCTTACTAAGCTCTTCATTATGCCCAGCCTTTGTTTGAATATTGTTCTTTGTTTTGCTTGGAATCAAGTGTGTCCAGTAAACTGTTGGCTTTACTTAAGATCAATTAAAACTCTTCTATCCAAAACAACATTAACATAGTTTTTGAAAATGACAATTGATAAAAAATAAGATTCATGAACTAAAAGTGCAAAATATTCCTTAAAATTTATTACTGAAACTTACATGGATATAAAGACATTCAGTTATATGAAATGTAAAATAAAGTGTTTTAAATATTATCTCACAATCAAAGTTCTTAATGCTTACAAATATCAAATGTGCAGTTGAGTGTGATGAACTTTTTTTCAAATACTTTCTTCGAAGATATTTATATTCACAATCAGCAAGTTACAAGGATAACTCTATACTTTATACTATACTTATGCCAATAACTAGTTCGCTCCCGATTCAAAATCTTCAAAATACATCTCTTCGGATAGTTCTTCCGATTTAAGTTTTACAAACGAGCTTGTTATATGTCCATTGATGACTATTTTGTAAAAAACATATTTCAAAGAAGATTTTGTACAATACAATCGGTAAGATTGTAAATATATATATAGTTGATTTTCAAAAAATAATTAAACATTTTCTATTTAGTTTTAAGTAAAAACTATTTTCTGATGCATAAAAGAATCTGACAGATAGGTACATTGCGTTGTATGTTAGATGTGCTTCTACGTATTTTTTCTTGTTAGAAGGTCAATAATAATGATAATCATAGTATGAGCATTAGTAAGTTAGATAGTAAGAAGACTTCAAAGACTTCGATCGGTTGAAATTTTTGAACAAAAAACTATATATGAAAATAAAAGCTTCAATATCTATAACAATCACACACCTTCTCTGTGCATCCAAAAATTTATGAATAATATTATTTATAATTTTAATTGGAATAAAATTATAAAACTATATGATATAAAAATGTGTAATTCTATATTATTTTAGATTGAGTTCTAAAATTTTAATCTAAATAATATTAAAGTCGAAAAATAAAAATTTACATGTGTAATAAAAATCTGATATATCGAACCATCTTAAAAATACTAATAACTACATATCAATCTGTTTTCTAAATTTTTCTTATATGCATGTACTCTCATATTTCTGATTGAATTTTCATGAATATTTAATTCTATAAAACCCATGAAAGTAAAAAATTCAAATGACTTATTTGTAAATTTGAAAAATCTTGCTGTTTACTGTGATTCTTATTTCAAATATTTGAAAACGAAAAGCCAAATTTAAAGAAACTTAACGAATGCTTGAGACTTTCATGAAAAACATATTCCAGAATAATCTTAATAATGTAATATTATTGCACATACATGCTTCTATCGAACGTTGCATTTAATAGCAAAGTTTAATGTTTGATTTGTAGTAATTTAAGATTAGTAAGAAAGCTTTAGAACAAGTTTTATTACCTAAATTTATAAGTTAATATTCACAACATTTTAAAATTTTTGAAAAATTGGGATTTTTTTATATTCTTCATTTACAAAAAATCATAAATTGAAAATTTATACTCTGAATAATGCAAATAATTTTTTTTGAAATTAAAAATTAACATTTTTTGAAAATGATTTATGTAATAAAAGGACTTCAAGGTTGAAATGTATTTTAATTCTAAAATTTCATTAATTATTATTTTAATTAAAAAATTATTGCGTCAAAAAAATTATATATTTTGAAATATCTGAATATTCCATATTTAAGAGAAAAATATAAAATATTTCTCTTTTGAAACTTTAAAATGACTTAATGTTGTAAGCATAATGATTTGAACATTTAAATTTAGCAAGAATTTATTTTTATTTGATATTTTCAAAATATATATACAATAAAAAATATCTGATGATCAAGATTAATACAATAATATTTTTTATAATTCATAATTGAATTTATTTCAACTTATCATAATATTGAGTTTAAACATATCAATAGATCCTATCATAAACATAAACTATATATTTTAAATTATTATTATCTTACATTGTATACAGTGATAAAATAAGTGACAAAAATAAGTGACACCTGTTGCAACAGGATTTCACTTATGTCATCATTATTTAAGTTGTCATCACCTTAATTATGTTATAATCATGATTGAATTATAATGTTTAATTCTTTTCACAACTTTTGTTGATACTTTTTCTATATTATGAAAATGACTCATTATGATTAGACTATGATTAGATTACTTATATATTTAGAAATATAATTTTTTAGACACAAGAATCAAGGTGGTCATAGCCACAATGTACATACAAGCCGAAACACTATGAACTGTTGTTTTCTTTCATTGAATCTCTGTTCTCAGGATCACACAAAGATATTATTCAAACATTTTTGTCATTAATAATAACAATAAAATTAGAAATAACGATAATTTAAGCAGTTTGAATAAAGAAAGATACCAAGGTATGAGATTATAATCTATGCACATATATGGAAATTTTTTCTTTTTGTTTCACTGATATTGTAAACATATATATTTAATATATACATTTTAAGAAAATATTAAATCTTTCATCAAAAAATTTAATTTCAAGATGTAAATTTACAGTAAAATTTATACATGTACATAATTTACTATTATGAATAAAATCATCTTGATTTTTCTTTTCAAACTCAAACTCATATTATAAAAATAAATAGTAAAAAATAAATATTTGAAATAAATATGACGAGTTTGATTTATAATGAATAACTTTCAAACTTTATCATAATGATGTAGATTGTTTTGATCATGAAATTTACTGCATTGTAGACATATTTATTCACAGATTTTAAATTTAATTATTTTTGAGATATGATATAATATATTTAATAGTGTTTCAACATTCTTAATTTTATGTATTTCTTATCTGCGTAGCTGACACACAAAAAATAATTCAGGCTTTTTGATTTAGCAAAACATAAAGTTTTGATGTGAATTTAAATATATATGTGATCAAATATTGAAACAATTCTTTTTTATAAGATTTTTTTTCTTTCTTTTTTTTTTAAATTTGAAAATATTCTTTTCTTCTTTAAATTTTTTTTCTTCATTTTTAATGAAATGTTTTTATCGGTTCTCTTAAGCAAAAATTTGCTTTTATGCTCATTGCAAAATAATTTACCATTGTTTCTTGAGGTTTTATGAAATTTTGTGTTGAAGTATTTGTAGAAGCTTGGGATCATTCACATTAATGTACCTGTTTGAAGGATATATGAACTAGATGATTTTGAAAAGCTACATTTTGTCACAAGGGTAGTAATTATTATAAAAAGGATAACACAACTACAGCAAGTCTTACACAGAGACTATCAAAAGGGTAGATGGGAGTAGGTCACAAAAACATCACCATGAGAAACACAATATGTTGTACATCTGACATCTGAATTCTGTAGAATAAAATTCCTGCACTGTACAATAACAAATGAAGAAACATCACGTAATCATAGTAGGTAATGCTCTCTTAACAAAAAAGGACGTCTATTACGTAGAATAGACGATATAATGTGGATTTTAAAAATGATATACTTGATACATACTATGGTAAACTCTTCTACACTCTTTCTCATTCTACCCTCGTTGACGTCTAGTTACAGAATGTCATATGATTTTAAATCGGAGAAACGAGGTGATGAGCAATGAGCATATTCAAAAAATCATTTATCTTGTAACATAGTGGTCCACTTGCGGTCCAGTGAATGATGATAGATGAGTGGATAATCATCTCATTCGAAAACAGTATCATGTGTAGGATAGGTTATCGCAAAGTTCGCAACTAAATGGTTACTTCAGAACCAAGTACAAGTCCACTGCAAAACAGCACACCCCTTTTCTGTAGACTCATCCATATCCATCCACTTGCCAACTGATACGTCCAACTGTCGTCATATAGTGCAGACGGAGATGCCCTCACTCAAAGTTTCAAACATGCGCATTTGGAGTCGGAAATTCATTTCATAGAAGTGGGAACACTCATTCCGGAAAAGGACCAAGGAAGAAGACAATTCAATTGAAGACAATGCAATTGAAGAGTAGCTACCGTAGGCTGTGACAGGTAATGTCATCGACGTAACCCTGGTCGCAAAGCACCTCCAGTTACTCAAACGCCCCGACTGCAAACTTATGTGAATGAGTTTACAGTCGGGGCGTTTGAGTAACTGGAGGTGCTTTGCGACCAGGGTTACGTCGATGACAGGACCCGCTGTGACCAACAGACAATGCAGACTCACCCCTGGAAAAGGGAGGAGAGCACGTGGGGACAAGGGAATGTGAAGCAAGTACTTCGAAACCAAGGCCTCCGTGGTACAAAGTCCCAGGGATAAGGAAGTTCGTCCGGAAGATGCGACTGGAACAGCGGAGACGGTAAAATGGTTGAGATGGCCGGTCGCAAGTAGGGAGTAGGGTAGAAATCCTACCGTAGGATGGCCATGGTGAGATGGCGGGGGGGAGAGGTCTGTATGCATGCATGTGGGTTAGCGAGTAAGTAGTGAAAGTGAATTCCATCATGCTCATCCAGATCTCTTTTTTACCTCGCCGTCTTTCCGGAGACGGGACTCCCTGCAGCCTCCCCCGCCCGACGCGCACAAAATAAGATTATTCTCGTGAATTCGAACACCCCGGTCTGGAGCCACCGGTCATCGCCGGTTATGAGGAGAGTCGCCGGGCCGAGCCTGGTTCAAAAGAGCCGGGGCCGTGGTCAGTGGGCGATCCGACGGGGCCGGCGAGCGAGGGTGTCGACGCGGAAAGAGGCAAGGAGTCCCGGTGCGAAGCGCTGGTCGGATCTCTGACGGAGAACGGCCGCCGGAAGTGAGCGAAAAGGAGCGCGCCTGACCAGAGCCACGGGGCCGGAAGATAGGGATGGGGGCCATGGGGCATTCGGGGTCTGAGTCGAAGGGACGAAGGGGGAACCAGGGCGTCGAAGGCCGAGGACCTTTTGTTGGGTCCGTGCGCGAGAGCCTGCCCTTTGCTGCTTCTTCCGTCTCGCTGTTTCCGCCGGACACGCGTGTAGTTTTGCCTCCGCAATCCAGTGCCCACTTCCGCGAATTGTGCAGGGGTTGCATACAGCTTTAGCAATTTCCCAGATCCGCATCGATTTTTGCGGATTAGCTTCTGGTGCAGCGGAGATCAGCGCACAGCGGAGCTTTGTAAGCATGGTTCCGAGTGGTGGAGAGAATCAAGCCTTGAGTAATGAATGTGGCGTGAGATCGGAGGGGGCGGTCGGTAGAAGCTCGTCCGGTTGGGAGTCCGAGTGAATGATTTTCCACATGGCTCCTACTCACAAATCTCTTGAGATTTTGAGCAGGTTAGTGATTGGCTGTTGTTGCAGCCCGGCTTCTGTGTGTCCTGTTTTTCGGGCAGCGTTTGTCCTTAGAGTTCGGCCAAGTATTTTAAGATCGAGCTCGATTGCGTGTCGAAATTGGGTTTGGATTGTTGCGCTAGAGGTCTCGGCGGGAGGAGTTGGGAGGATCAGATGCAGGGTTTGAGTCTCCAGCACAGCGTAGGAGAGTAGGGCACGTATTGCTTTCTCTGAGGACCCAGGGGCAGGTGCAGATCCTTTCGAGTTTCCAAATTGGAAAGGAGTTCATACTCTATCCTATTGCAATATTAGCCAAAGCCTCAATTTCAAAGCGTATTCAATCGCATGGTCATCCATTAGAACTTCATCTCAAATCAACAGCTCCTGATGAGCCATGGAGTTTGATTGATTGTCCTCCAAAACTGACTGTCAAATGGTCCTCATGGTTCGGAAAAAATGATTCAACATTTGATGAATATGCTGCACATAGCAGATGAAAGTGTATTCGGTTAGACCAACCTGTTACAATTGTTGCCAGTATCATATGAGAAATACATACCAGCTAATTGTCCTCATGTATTATTCTAGTTGAAAACAGTGCAATTTGAGGCATGCACACGATGTGAATTCTACTCTCTTTGATATCTGAGTGTTTGCGAGACGGGAAGCATTTTGCGAATGATTCTCGCTGAATAAGCCATAACTGTCCTCGAAGCAGCCGAGGTCAGGAGAGCTGATTCCATTCCGCAAGAAGGTCGTCCCTAACCGCTGCTGATTATAGCGTTATGATCTCTATATTCATCAGATACTTTGAAGCTCTTAAAAGACGAGGAATGCTCGCCGATGAAGCTTCTCTTGAGTTCAAATATTCCAGCAGGCCAGGTACAATATCTGAACTCCACTGTTTTGTCCTCATGGTTGAGTAAACGGCCCAAGAGTTGGGTAGTCTTACAGCCTGATCAGATGCTGTGACATGTAACGTTTTGAGGTTGGAAAAATGAGCTGCTATTGTTAAGGTCTTGACACCTAATCGTCGCAACATGACTTGTACAAGGCTTGTAGCTGCCATTTTCAAGTCGGGAAAAGTATCGGCCACGTTCTTTTCATTGTTCCTGTCTTGGGTGTTTCTGGCTTGCAATTTACATAAATCTGACTCTTCAATACAAGTGCGGATAGTCAAATATTTCAGCAAGATACAATTGGTACTTTTCGTCCGTTGGTTCTATAAGCGGTTGAATTATCTGCAGTATGAAATTGATTTAGCCCGAGATGAAGTCGAGTTTTTCTGTTCTGAAGGTTTCTATTCAAATGACCACTCTGCTGAATTGCAGTTGTGTGTCAAAGGGCATACTTGAAAGTATCTACTTTTCACAATGAGGATATGAAGAATTGCTAGAACCAGGTGACCCCGCCCTCGCACCCTGTCATCATCGCTGGTTGCACACAAACCATGGAGTCAAAATTTTTTCCTGCTAAATGCAATCGTGCACTCTCGTGGAGAAGAATTTTGTGACAAATCACTTCGGTGTTTCTTCTTATAAATCTACCTGCACAGAACCTACTGATCATGACAGCGTGATAAGCACTAAATAAGAGTGCAATTATGAATCTATGCTCTGCCACGGCACGAATTCAGAGGGTTGGTATCTGGATCAGTTATGGAGAATGATATGATACACCCAAGCAGCATGTACGCACAGAGAACTGTTTCCAAGAGTTACAGATTTCGTATTCGTGACATCCTGTTTTACCTTCACTTTGCTTCCCAACTTTGTTTAGTGCTTTCCACTCATCTAGAAACCACAAAGAATTTGGTGTTGCATAAGTAGGTTCTTCGATCTCAAACTATGTAAGGGACTCTGTCTTCTAGTTGAACTTTTTTAGCTCTTTTGAATACACAGGCATCTTGATTATCTGTAAACCGCTGAAACTTAGGTAGGTCCTAATACAGCTAACACAACTTACACTATGCAGTTGAGTCTACGGTGTCGGAGAGGTGTACATTAATGGAAGAACTGGGGCACGCGAAAGTTTCATCAAATTATGGAGAGCTGCTAAGAATGATCAGAGCTACCTTTTCCTCGGCAAATGCATTAAGCAAGTGTTTTCTGCCATCCAATGGATCTGGGAGTGGAAGGGAAACCTCTGTACCCAATCATGCAAAATCAACGATTTTGGGTATAAACTCAACCTGAGATCATTTGTTCTTCTGTGGTTTCTTTGTTCTTCTCTGTACGCTCATCAGCCAGTCTTTTCTTAAATGCGTCTGGGCATTTTGTTTTAACCGACGTTCTGCTGCAATCCCGTCTCCTCGACTTTCACAGTGGTGGCAAAAGGCTTAGTTTTTAAAGAAATAGCCTTAAGGCTAAGTTATAAAGAAAAAGTTTCTACCTGCTAATGATTGGATACATCTCTTTAGTTTTCAAATAAACTGAGCTCAGTCAACAATCGATTCTATTCATACGAATCTTTCGGGTCCCAGAGTGTCCACCCGACGTGCAGAATCCAACTACAGTGTATGTTTTTTTGAAAGAGCCTTGATTTTGTTTTGACTACAGTCGCCGGCGTCGACTTGGCTCTGCTCAAAAGATTTTATGATGCTGTTATCGAACTGGTAGGTCCTTCACTTTGTTTGAAAGGACACGGTGCATTTTGGACGTACAGGTAGATGACACGTGGATTATTTATATTTGTCGTATTTACTTTGCTTTATTGATCTGCTATTAGCACGCTTGTTCTGTAAGTATGACAGGTAAATTCTAATGAGTACAATTTGGGATTGATTTAAACTTGTTGCACCAAATGTACGTTCTCTCAGGAAACAGGGGAAGTGAAATCGGCCATTATGGAATCAAGTGATAAGCTTTTAACAGATTTGCTCCTCTCAGTAGATCCAAAAAACGGAACTCGGCACTTGGAGCCAACCCCCGTGATTCGGACGATAATCGCTCTTCTCGAGGTGTGATGACGTTCTAAACCCTATCTCATACCATACAGTGAAATTGCAGGCAGCATCTCTTAATAACAGTATGCACAACTATAAACCTTCTATTCTTAGTTTTTAAAGCGCCGAGCGGAGCTTCACATCTCCCTGGCCAATATCGTCGATTTCGTGGTCTCAGCTATGTAGCCGTAGTGTCCTGCTCTTTGGCTGTTCCAGTTCCTGCTTCTGATGATTGGTGGGGAGTTCTTTTCTTTGTTATGTATCCTTAGAATATTTCTGTATCACCTCTTCTATTTGGATACAGCATGAAGAATCTAATACCTGGAAACTTCGGGTTGGTAACAATGTTCTTCTGCGTTTAACAGAATAGGCTTTTCAAGTCACCTGACTATCATAACGTGCTGACGAAGCTGTGGAAGCTAATTCTCAACCTTCCTTCGAATTGCAAGACCATTTTGTTGCAGGCTCTTGAGAAGTATGTTTTTGTTATTTGAAGTTTAGTGTTGGTCATTAACCTAACGATGTTTCCTGCTGCACTAAGTAGCCTTTCAGTTTCTACTTTGTATTATATGGTGGATAGGAAAGGTCTTTTGTCGTTGAAGCTTTTTCCTCTTTGGACTTTTCTGTGCTTTCGTCGTTAACTAGCTTAATGTAGGAGCAGATTTGGATGTCAGGTTTGTCTTGAAATTTTGTAGACGTGGTTATCACTTAGCAGATCACAGAATGTACTGAAAGCCTGGTCGTAGTCAGTTCACGTCATTGAGATTCGGCCTGAGAGTTTTATTTCTACAATCTTATACTTGGATCATTTATGTGGCAGATATAGCAAGGAGCATCTGGAGCAGCTCGTTTCGATTGTTCAGACCTTTATCACCAGCAATGTCGGCAGTGACCAGGTCGTTATAGGAGTGGATGTACTACGAGAAATCTGTATCCATACCAGGTTAAGGTTGAGATATGCTTTGAATTTGTGGGTGAATATAATTGGCAGATCTGGAGAAGAATTCGTTTTTGCTTTTCAAAGATTCCAACATGGATGCTAACTGCCCACGTGAGGGAAGACTTTCTGTCTTGCTGGCTTTGAGTTTTTAAAATCTTCGAGCACATTCCTTAATTAACTGCGCAGATGCTGTCAACGAAAAATCTCAACACCTTAGCTTCACATCCTTCTACAATGATGCAGTGAACAACGATGAGTTTGACTTGAAAGAGGACTTCCGAAGATGGAGGAACCCGGACAGGTACTGTACTTGGGTCCAGCTTTGATATACAACATCTTCTCCGCGTCGTGATGAGGGTATTCTAAAAGGGTCGAAATGCTATATTTTGTGATTGTTGTACAAGCCAAAGCAGTGACGTCCAATGAAACACGTCAGGTTCAAAATATAGTGAAGAACTTTACGGACCAAAGAAGATAACTGCCCTTTTCTCAGGAATCCTCAAGTGATTTATTCACTCATGGCGTACACTGACTTATCCTTTCATGCACGGTTTGGTTCACTGACATAATTTGACTCATGGTTGTTCAGGTTCCCGTTTTCCTTCTGCAAGTATCCGTTTATCTATGATCCGTCAAGCAAAAGCAAGATCCTACAGCTGGATGCAAATGTTCAAATGAGGCATGAATTCCAAGACGCAGTTTTGCGGTCAATATTCATTGGTGCCACGTGCCCTTACCTGGTTTTACGAGTGAACCGAGAAAATCTAATCCGAGAAACGATATTCCAGGTTTGAACCTTCAGTTCGTCTTGTCTTTTTTTTCTCCATACAAATAGTCCATAGGTGGAAGCTTAACCCTGATGCTACAACACAATTCATCGCATAATCGTAATGTATTGTGCTTCTTGGCTATAGTACCATATACATCCATACCATATTCATCATATATAGTATCCGCTCCATGTTATTAAGGATCGTATTCGCGATTCTAATTGGTTTTTTTTGTATTTTAATGCTGCTTTCATGGTTTCCTTTTCTCCTTTATTCTAAGTCGAAGTTAACTTGAAATAAAGCCATCAGCATCAAGGCGCGTGAAAGCGTTATCTGTAGATAAAAGAGCTTCTTCCAGATTTTGTGTCAGACATAGTCTCAAGTGTTAGGTCTCATAAAAATCTTCACCTGAATACGATAAATTTGATCCATGTGTACCTTTTAGAGACTCAATATTTTTACGTCATTCCAGTCACTTGTCCGTCTCACTTATGAAGATTTTATTTGTCTAATTTCTATCCAGATTGGACATTGTAAGGGAGTTCAAGTGTAGAAACAAATTGTGGTGAATTCCTTTTTTCCACTTTTCCAGGTTCTGAATCTGAATTTTCGCATTGTTGTGTTTTGCAACAGATACAACAACAATCAGATGATCTGAAAAAACCTTTGAAGGTATGATTGTAACTACTTCCCGCCGACTAGTATGAATCATGTTCTGGCTTTGCAGCCCGTTATGACTTGGTTCATAGTTCTTCCCTGATCCGGAAAAGCCTACCTGAATCTCAAGATGTTTTTCTGAAATATTCACTGTTTCACCACACAACAAGAATTAATCTTTAGAGTCAGCATTCATAAAGAGTAGGATTCGCATGTCATACAACGACTACTTCTCCTTGTGAACAGATCCTTGAGCTGTCTAGTAGTCATGTTAATGGCTGTATGTTTTCAGAAGGTACTAATGACCAAGGAAATGTTTCGATGCTGCAAGGGATTCATGTTGAATTGCTCCGAGCTTGCAGGTTCAGTTTCTTGGAGAAGAAGGTGTTGACGAAGGGGGAGTCCAGAAGGAGTTCTTTCAGCTTGTCGTTCGAGAGGTCTTCGACCCTAAGGTATAGGCAGGCCATTGAAATTCTGACCATAGCAAGGAAGACTTCTGTCCAGACGTCTAGTTACCTTTCAGACGCCGTTCGACTTTGTGTCTTCCACTTTGTTCAGAATTATTCTCTCCTCTATCAGTAAAAATATAACTGTTTGTTAAACACATATTCAGCTCTTTTCATACGTGGATGAAATCGTGGAGTTGGTAGAGCGGATCAACACTCGTATGATGCAACTATGATCTTAGCAGGAGGCATTATCCTTCCCATGTCGTAAGCTCTTTTATAGGCAAATGAAAGATATGCATCCTGAGTGCTGTCCATATGGCTCGAACCACTCACTGACGCATTCCATATAATACTTCTCGGAATATATCCCTTCTACTTTCTTGTTATTCGCAGGACTTTTGTAATAATGCCTTTCTTCTAGGCTATTTCAAGGTAGCGAAAGTGGTTGTGAGGTAGTATCAACCTAGAAAAGTGTGGGATTTATGTGAAATAAAATATTCATGAAAAGGATGGAATAACTCGTAAAGTTTCGGTTAGCTAAACCTCAGATTCTTCAAATTTTACAGCAACCATGAAAATTCTTGTTAGTCTTATTGGGATTTGGAGTATCCAGTTTTACAGTGCTCGTTTTAGCTGCAGTGAGAATAGAACTGCTCCTGTTTGAAGTTACCCCTAGACGTACACCTTTAGATTTGCTGTTAGATTTCTTCCTCAAAATGGGTCTATGCGATTCTAAGCACTAGAATAAGGAGTCACATTCTTTGCCTGCCTTTACATAAGAACTGTGAACTGATCTGGAATGATGGATGTGTTCTTCGTCTGCAGTATGGGATGTTCTCTTATAACGAGGAGACGAGGTGTTTTTGGTTTAACTCTTCACCCCTAGACATGGATACCGAATACGAGCTTGTCGGTATATTGCTTGGATTAGCTATATACAACGGACACATCTTGGAGTTGCACTTTCCGAGTGTAATTTACAAGAAGTTGCTCAATAAAACGCCAACATTCGAGGATCTTGCTGAGGTAACCCCTCCATAAATCTTTCGCTCCGATTTCACTCATAGAGACGTTACCCTGTCTTGCTAAATGAAAACTTCATATTTACCTATGTACAACGGTTTGAAGTTGCTCTTTGTTTTTTTTTTTTTTAATACATCCTTGGATGTTCGGATGGTTCTGCGTCCTTGAAACCAACAGAAGCCCTCACTAACAATTTTGTAATTTGTAGTTGGTCACAAGGACGTATGATATAAGTTTTAACATATTCGACTCATACCCATTCTTAAATGGCACTTCTGTGAAGCTAATTGAAGAGTCAGAATAGCTTTGAGAGCCGGCCTAAGGCAACTTTGTGAAATGCAGGTGAATCCAATTCTTGCAAAAGGCCTGGAGCAACTTCTAAGTTTTACGGGAGATGTTGAGGTACCTGCAGTCTTGTGACAAAGGACAAGTCTTATGTTGTTCCTTGTACTTGCCAATTGTGTAGAAATAGAATTTCCTGCATATGTTGAAAATCCAAGCCCACACTCTTGACGAGTTGTGTTCAGTGTAGGCCATGTTTACGAAGTGAATATATTCTTGTGCCACCAGGTCATTCACAGTCGCCATTTGTGGACAAAATTATTGACTTAGCCCTGGTCTTTGAGGAACTTACACTTTTTGCTTGCAGGCTGTCTTTCTGCGTTCCTTCCAAGTGTCGGTACAAGATATATTTGGGGACATCAGAACGGTTGATCTCAAAAACGATGGAGGCATGATTCCGGTGACTCAGGGGAACCGGAAGGAGTACGTAGATTTATGTGTGGAGGTAAAGACACAATCAATCGGTTACGTTTCTGTCATTGCTATCACTACTCTCCACACAATAGAACTAAGCTTGCTGAGATTTATGAGAAAGATGAACCTATGTTGTTTCTGTTCATATTCCCTTTTGGTCAAATTATGGTAATTTAAGAAGCTGGACTCTCGAGGCTAAGTTTATGCGCAGACCGATCGATCCATGCCTTCGTGTCCTCATGTTGACTGCAACCTGGTAAATTTTTTTTACAGTACTACATGGAATTATCGATACAGCGTGCGTTTGAGGCCTTCAAGCATGGTTTCCAAAAGCTCTGCAAGGGTAATGTTCTTGATGTGAGTACAGATCCTTGCCATAAATATAGCTTGAAGTATTCGACTTGGTTCATTTTGAGCTGCTCAGAGAGTGAGTAGGATTTGTGTTGTATTGCGCATTGGGTTTCAGGGAATTCTATACGTCATGGAACTAGGTTCTGATCTACTGTTTTGGACGCAATGCATCGGCTAACTATCATCGATAGAACATTTTTTTTTGACTGAAATGAACTGGACATTCTGCAGCTCTTCCAACCTGTTGAATTGGAGCAGCTAATCTGTGGTAGCCCAGAACTTGATTTTGAAGCCTTGTAAGTTAACACTTACTAGTGTCGTGAAGCTAAGTAAGGTCCTAGCTTTGTGAAGTAATTTCCAGCTAATTAGAATGATTGCATGTATGTCAGCAAGGAGCAAGGAGACATTGTACATGACTGTTGGTATTAGCTTTATTTATTTTTCTCTTTTTTTTGAAGGTATGAGTGCATTAAAGACAACAGATAATGTGCACAATTGAGGGGCATTTTTGAATGGCTGACTGACAACAATTACTGGCCTTTGTACAGCTTACTGCCTCAGTAATGCAGTTGTACATCTATCTTTAATCTGATTCTAGCTGATAAGAGTCATTGTGGACGCTAGCCAGAGAAATGAATATCATACATGCCATATGTTCACACAGCTAATAATCTTCATTTGTTCTTTGTATTTAAGAGACGTTCCTGAACCTTGTAAGTGCAATTCTCGAGGCATTCTGATTCCAAAATTTTAGAATTGTAGGTTTTTTTCTCATTATAGCGAAAGTAGATTCACCAACAGAATATAATATTGTTATACATGATAAACACTTCATTTTGGAAGTTGAGAGAGAAGAAAGTATATACTGCGGCCCAGACTAAGTGTGGTTTACTCTTGTATGTACGCACAGTATCTGGTGTCCACGTTGTACATGTGTGCATAGGTATCTGCTTCCAGCGTACTAAAGCTAACTATATCATCGTGCACATCTTTAGGGCCGTGTTCAAAATATGTGTTCTTCTTACTTGAGGACGTCCTTCTTCATGAGGATTTGTGTTGCAGAGAGAGGAATACACTCTACGAAGATGGATACAGGAAGGACTCCAAAGTAATCAGCGATTTCTGGGAGGTCTTCATCCGTTCCTCAATACCTCCAAGAATGAACCTTCTTAGCTGCGTATTGATCAATTGTATGTTGTTCATGTGGCTTCCTACTGGAGAGAGAGTTCTTTCACTTGGTCTCAGCCCTCGCTGTGTTCTCTCTTGTGTAGGTTGTTCATTCTTTGGATGAGGAGAACAAGAAGAGACTCCTATTTTTTGTGACGGGTTGTGATCGTGCACCTATCAAAGGGCTTGCAAATCTACATTTTGTAATATCCAGAAATGGTCAGTCTCTCCGTTTGTTTCTGCTGTGTTGTTGATGGTCAAGGCTATTATGTTATGAACTCCCTTTTCTATATTGAAATCTTTTCTTTATCCATCCTATTCTCGGTTTGCGAGGGACGTCATTCTTTCAATACAACTCACGTGTCTCTCAAGAACATTCATCTTTCGCTCTACAGGAACAGATTCCGAAAGGTTACCTACCGCGCACACTTGTTTTAATCATCTGCTTCTTCCTGAATACAGCAGTAAGGGCAAGGTAATTTGGAATGTAGCTTACACAATTGGCGGAGGTATACGCAACACAGTTGATATTAAGTTGTTTATGTTTGTGTTAATAATTGCTCATTGTTCAAATTTCAGCTGTCATAACGATGGAGAAACATCGTGTATTCCCCTCGCCATAATTTTCTCTTGTCTCTTATCTTTACCTACGGGTCCTTACGTGTAGCGTGGATTTTGCAGCTTAGGGAGCGGCTAATGACAGCAATTAGCAATGCAGAAGGCTTTGGTCTCATGTAACTCTCTCTGAGTGGTGGTCCTACATCATTGAACAGTGTAGGTTCTCTCAGAGGTGAGTGGTGAACCTTATATGCAGTAAATTTGAGAGCAAGACCTTTTACGGAAGAGGTTGTACAGAGGCTTGAATATGGAGGTACTCACGTTATGATACATTGATAGTTAGACATTGAGGTGATGCGAGTGAGATTCTTTCGAGCTCACTTTCCCTGCATTTGTCAAGCCAAATAGTGTTGAATTGTTTATTTGATCACTGTAAAATTTACCAGAAAATAGTCGGATCTGATTAGTATTCGGTGTCATGGCTTACTCGATTTATTGAGTGATCCTGTAACCAGGTCATGCCTTGGCATTGGTTGTAATAAAAAGCTAAGTGAAAAGTCTGTACAAAGATCCAGCTTGATGGGGAGTAACCCTGGAGCTGGCCACGGCAAGAATGAGACTGCGACTGAAAGTAGCAAATTAGGAGCAGACGCTTTCTCGCTATCTCCGCCTAGTATTCTAATAGCTAGTTATGGCTGGCCGTTGCCAGAGGTCTCAAAGCTAACAATTTGGTCATGTAAAAACATTTCAGGCATACATGGTTTAACCTTGTAATCTCTTTGAATCTAGCAGCCACCAGTCGATGCATCTCTTTCCCCTCCTAAGTCAAGGACCCACTGTGAACATTGTTGGTCAGATTCTGCATATTCCAGGCTGCGGCTCTTTGCTTGTAGAACATAGTTTTTGAGAACTTTTTGCCGATGGGCTTCAGTGTTAGCAAAGCCTGGAGATTTTCCAGCTTAGAAACAGGCAGGTGCTCAACGACCTTGGAATGTGATTCACGGTACACGGGTATCAGGAAGGAAGTGGGCATTGCTTCGGCAGAGCCCATACATCGTTGGGAGGGCCACTGCAGAGCACTTTTACGTGGGTGAGCAGAAAAAGAGAAAGTAGAGAGACACTTGATGATTAGCTTATTCATCCATGGACACTGCATCAGATGCGGCTGCATTCGAATTCACTCCCCAGCTCTATATTTAGGAGCAAAATGGTTCATTCGAGACTGGATCTATGTCAGGAACGCCTGTCGGTGAGTGGAAGCCTAAACCTCAAAACTGAATTGCATTGGTATGGCATTTCAGAGTTTTAACATGACATGTTATTTTCTTCCTCGTTGAAGGTAGAGAACGGATTCGGAACCTACTGTTCACACTGGCGGAAACAGAGAAACTTTACTACAGGGCCACTTCCCCAGTAAGGTTCACCTTTATCTAGAAGATGGTGGAATAATCTGGATATTTCGGTACTCACGAGCATGTAATGCGAACTGTTAATGGGGTGTCATCCCCATTGTAACTTCCTTGTACATTCAGCACCTTCTATATACATGTAAATGATGTCAGCAGGTGTTAAGCACTGAAAACCAACTTGAAGAGATGTCTTCTATCATAATTTGCTGAATTATTTGAACAACTTGGATACGGTTATTCCCGAAAATTACTTTCTCACCTGCCCTCTTTAAAGCAGTTTACTAAATCTCTTGTAACCACGAACGACGTTCTAACTACGTCAATAAACTTTGAGGTGAAGGAAAACGGTATTGAACACGATATAAAATACTTTCTTAACTAGATTTGTTTGAAGTCGAACACCATCACTCAATCCAGTGTCATGCCGAACAAACGAAACCTTAATTTATCAAACTATGCATCCCAGGATGTGCTGCAAAGCGTGCCTTTTGTACTGCTTGCAAATTATCCAAGTCATAAGACTTATATTGATGTGAGTTACACCTCTTAAGCGCAACAGCGATGATTATTTAATACGGAGAAAACTATGGGCACTGAAAATGAACTTCTTCACATCCACGTTTTCAAATGTACATCGCCGTATATTTATTTCTTCATTATCAAGCATAATGCTTTAATGTTATGGTAAGTAAACCGTTAACAGAACATTTTCATCATGGTTCAACGTTTCAGTAATTGATAGATGAAATGATTAATCTGATTCAGAGACAACTTAGTACTATTTGTGTTCACAAAAAAACCTAATTGTGTTCGCCTTAGAATGTATCAATACCGCCATTTGTATTTCATGCCATATTTTCAACATGTAATATATATATGTAAGTTCTGCTCATGATGTTAAGATGTGTAACACTGAGATCTATACGTACACATACAAACTTCTTAATTAGTTTATAAATAAAAGTAGTTAATGCAATCTGGTTTCTCAGCATCTAAATGATGTAAAAGTGGTCGTTTGAGGGACACATCAAGAACACTTCGGTCTGATCGTGGTACATACCGTAACTTAAGAGAAGTAATTGTCGATCAATGCACCACAAAAACGTACATTTCGGTAAATTTTTCGGAACAATGTCGAAGGACGATTGGTTTGTAGATTTAACACCTATCACTTCTTTGTTGGGCTTCATACAGTCTTCATGTCCTTTCTTTTTCGATGTGAATTTTAACTTTCATGACTGAAATTTTTTTGTATCATATGAAATCTTTTACCTTAATGCATTTTTGTAATAAATGTTTGCTGGAAAGTTTTAGCCATGACAAAATTAATTTGGACACATTCCAACTATTCACATCAGTTCATATCAAGCTAAAGCTTGGCATCTTCTTTTTGGTAGCTGGCTCATCATTATTTTTATAAATATGCACTATAATCTAGAGCATACATGAACTCTATACGATAAGGAGACAATGTTATCTCTTCAAATTGAGATAAATGTGATTAGTAAACAACGTGTTTAAAATAAAAGGAGATGTTCCATTCGGCGATGATACATATATTCTTTGAATCGGACATTTCTTTGGGACAAAAGAAGTGGAGATCGAAGCCAAAAGTGAATGCATGATTCAAAAGTTCAATGACTGTGCAATCCTCACATATAGTGAAAGTTCAACTTTATCTAGAGATTGAGCCACATAGAAGAATATCATAAGTGCACTCACGCATATCTAGTCTCAAAATTATCTCCACAATCTGTCCTAAATTGTATAACCAGTTTCGAGTAAGATCAGCAAGTTGAAAAACTTCAGGTATATGTGCTAAGCAGGTAAGTTAAGACATAAATACCAACACTATACGAAAAGCACATCTGATCCAAAATTAAACAAATAGTGGCATACTATCGACAACAATGCGTGAAAATGTAAACAATGTTTTCTGTGTGGAATACCATGAAATTTTAAGGAAATAATTCATCGTATGTCATCTGAAGTTGTAAAGAACTTTCAAAGTGAAGGTAAAAGCTAACTTTAGATCAATTGATAATAGATGATGGAACAAGTTTTGATTTCATGACAACAATGAGATGATATGGCACAGGAGTGATAAAAGATGTTGGAAGTCTGAGTTGCAAGACACCAGAATTTTTTTTCTACAGCAGTGTTGACTCTCTCTAAGCACATAGAGGGTAGCAGCAAAGTATCGTCAAGTCGCATCCATCGGATGACTCCATTGAAATCAACACTGAAGTGCAATTTTATACTCAAGGTTCTTCATCACTTCACCCACGAGGCAAACATCGGACTGCAAGCCACTTTCAAGCGTTTTACATGCGATTCTATCTTTTATCACATAAATAAACGGTGATATGCAATTATATAATGTATAATTGCATGCCACCGTTGGTTGGTTTAATCTAGTAAAATGCATGTAAGCTTGTTTCTCTGAAGTAAGTCTCTTAGTGGAAGACAATGCACTTACTGAATCGTGGAGATTCTCGTCAATACATCGTACTCAATGCTTCGGCAGGCGTTGCACTTATAGACTCTGGTCTCAACTTGAAATCGTTTCCATTTTAACGATTGACTCAGAAATCCTGAGGTACTTGCTAGATGTTAGTAGTAAAAGTGGAGGAGAAACCTCGACACAAAGAACGGAGCAACATTTGAATCTTAAAAAAGAAAGAATAGATGTATAATGAATAAGAATAGATGAATAGAGAAGACCATGTGTACTTATATGTCTCATGGTTACAATTATGTTTCGTCACTTCGACTCTGATTTACATCAGTTATCAGTTCCGCTTTACCATAACGCGCTACTGTATTCCGCTTCCACACGTCCAAGGCCAGTCTATAGGAGTTACATAAATCCCAACCCCAACCTGCACTCACAGGACATGACCCCAATCTCTCAAACCAAATGTCAGTCCTCGTGGCCTGACATGTGCGAGAGGGAGTCGACGCAGAACACGACCACGCAACGAAGCGATTTTTTTTTTGTAAAATCTGATCTTTATCAGTCCGCCATGTAACAGCAGGACAGCTCGTTCGACGGAACGTGGTACCATACGTCCGCAATGGAGGAGACGTTCGAGCGCAAAGACTCGAACAAACTCGCGATCGATGAGAGCATAAATAACGAGAATCCACTCTTGCGCTTGCCAAATTCTGTCAATAAGGCTCGAGTCCACTCCATCGGTCCGACGCACGAACGGTGTATCGACCGGCAGAATGGTCCGTAAATCTTGCTAAAATTGCGACCGGTCGCGCGCGTGGTGGGGCGAGCCCATACTTCAAACTTGTCCGAGTCTCGAAAGAATTTCAAATCAAGCTCGCAGTCCGCCGTCTTCAACGTTCGAGGCTTAACGTAACGCGCGTCTCGTCTTGCAGCCGCGCTCAGATGTCTGAAAGTCATACAGGCGCGGGCTGCCTTAACGTCCGAATGACTAGTCCGCTCCTATCAGAATCTTGACGGACGAGGTCATGTCCATAATACTCCATAGTCTTGACAAGAAGCTCATCGAGGACGATGGTCTCGCCGGCCCTTCCCTAGTCGTAGCCAACAATGAGTTCCGGAACTACACTCAGGCGCTGCGAATGCTGATCGGTAGCCGCCTCCAACAAGTTCTGTCTCCTCTGCTGTATCTTCCTCCCAAACAGCCTCAGCGTTGGCAATCTTCTTTTCCAAAAGTAATTTCTGAGTGATATAGTTTATAGCTCGATTCTTTGCTTCAGGTTTGAAAGAATACGTTGAGTGTGTCACGAATGTTTGACCTTTTCATTTAACGAAATCATGCAAAACTGCAATAAGGAAAAACTTGAATCCTTGACAAGACTGCTGTTCGACTTCAGCCTACAATAGAGTCTTATGGCACGTGGAAGACGAACACTTCTTTTGTTTCAATGCTTCCTTCTTCTTGTGGTCATCGTATATGGATCGTAGTGAATACATCTTGTTGGGATGTAACCACTTTGCACTAAGGAGGACCAAAAGCTATCATTGTGAGGTATGTATGGACTACTTTAGGCCTATACAGAAATTGCAATGCTGTTCGAAGGCTAATGTGAGTTTAGAAACAACGCAGGACCTATGTTCTTCAATAAATCAAGTGAATGTAATTATGTGAAACAAGTACATGCCCACAGCTAACCTACGGACATGGCAGGTGGCGAGTGTGAAACACAATTTTGTGTGTGTCGACATGGATGCTGTTATTGCACAATGCCTATCGATGGGCTTCCCGGTGGAAGCTACCTTGGAAGCTCATAAACAACTAGGTAACTCTAATTCGTTTATATGAAGTATTGAGGCTGACAACAGTGAGAAAATTATCTTCAAGTTGGATAAATTCATATTTACGGATGAATGCTGATATTACTGTTTCGTAATGCTTTACCGTTTGCAGGTTCTTGGAATACAGAAGATATTCTTGAGATTCTTCTCAAATCCGACGAAAGTTCAGCGAAAACTTTCTCGCAAGTGACTATTAAACAGGAAGATGGTGTAAATAACATACTATTATCTGAATCAGACATTGACCTCCAAAAGAAACAGGTTGATATCTCCCATTACATAACTCCTTGAACTGGAATTTGTGTGGAAGGAATCAATTTACAGGGATGTGCGCAACCCTGATTTTATGTAGGCTGTCTCAGTTAGGAGTTACTGACGCACAGTCTGATACATAAACAGAAGGTCCTGGACTAACATTCAGTCAAGCAGGAAATTTGTGAATGTAGCACAGCCCCACAACCCTCACTCGGGTGGAAGATGGAACCAAGCGAACCTAAATTTCGAGTCAAGCAAGAGTTTCGTGAATGTAGCACAGCTCTTCAACTCTCAATTGGGCGGAAGGTGGAACCAAGCGAAACAATGATGTCGCTCATGGAGAATGTCAAGCTAGGCAAAACATTGAATTCCACTTCTGTCATGACTGGTGAAAGGTCAGGGGAGAAGAACCTGATAAGCTGGAAAAATGGTATCACCAATGATTTCTCCATATTCTTGCAATTTGTGACTATGAGTTTACTGATGTGCTCATTGAGCAGAAAAGTTCTTACCCAGAAAACAATATTAAGTCCGTAACCAGCGATTGGCCTGGTAACGCGCAGAATCAACTTACAATCTTGCAGGGAAAACAAGGGACGTGACCTCGTCCAGGAAGTCTTCCTTGGTTCAACGGCTGATAGAGATGGGATGTCGGCCAGATGTCGTCGAGAAGGCTTATGAAGTATATGGTAATTTTCTGGCTTGCTTACTAGAAAATGTATTGGTACAGTTAACAATATAAGGTTCTCGCAATATATGCATCTGCTTGTCCTTGCAGTCGAGTAGAAGCGCGAGATATATTCATCTGTTCATACTTGAGGCATGTTCACCAAAGTGAGTTGAATATTAGTAGTGGTAGTTGTTTATGTATGCTACCATATAAATCTTCAAATATCATCGAACATAACCTGGTCGAATGAAATGATGATTATGGACGTTATTCTGCTCCTGTAGAGTTGCGTCTAAGATACATAGAAGAGTTAAAAAAATGACACTTGCTGATGTTATAATGTATGAGTTGGAGTGCAGGTATGGATCCAACTTACACAACAGATGACGAGAAACTGGATGTGATGTGCGACTTTATTGCTGCAGTTGACCTAAACGAGGAAGATGATGAGATTGTATGTCCTTCAAAAGCTTTATCTATACTCCGGCTTTGATTTTCGTGTTACCGGTGTAGCCCACCTGAATTAAGGAGATCAGAAATAGATTTTTCTCTCTTTTCATTGTTCAAGAGTCGAGCCTTACTTGCATCTCAACATCCTTGGCAGACTGAACATGCTAACCGAAGTAAATGTTTTTGGAAATAATAGCACATGCTGACTGACTTAAAAGATTAGGCACGTCATGTGAAAAAGTTGTGTAGAAGATGCTCAAATATTTGGATTGCACTTGAAGGAGGGAGACGATCAGGAATTCGAGAACCATGAGGATGATGGCGGGATTGAAGACTGGTTTAACTCGCAGAGAGAACTCGAAGATAGTTCGAAAACCGTTATTCCATATTCTTGTCAAAGTCGCCCTCGTTTGGATGTCTACCCGATAGGATTGTCTAGCGAAGTACGTCTCGAACAAAATGAAGAAGAGTATGCTCCTGGAGGATATTACAGGTACATCCGAGAGGATGATCCAGACCAAGAAGAGTATTTTTACAAAGATCTGGAAGAGCAAGAGGGCATGGGAGTTTTTGATGTCAAGAAAAAATACTGGAAAGAAGCTTCTTCGCCGACGATCTACAAAAGACAAGGCGTCAAACGAAGACCAAGAGCTACGAAAAGTCTAGTAGGACTCGTTACACGCCGAATTCGAGTGCCAAACTATACAAAAATGACTGGATTTGGAGTTCCGGGTGTGCCTATGATTCCTAGAAATCTTGAAAACTGTTCTGCAGACGGTCCGCCTTACTTCTACTTTGAAAACGTGGCCTTCATGCCTGGAGATGATTGGGATACAATCAGCCGCCACCTATACGACATCGAGCCAGAGTTCGTAAATGCGTATCACTTCACTGTTTGCAAAAGACCGCGTGGTTACATTCACAACTTGCCGGTGGAGGGAAGATTTGAGATTCTTCCAAGAGCTCCTCGGACAATCAAGGAGCTTGTGCCCTACAGCAGTGCTTACTGGCCGTCTTGGGACGACCGGACTACGTTCAACTGTATCTGCACGAACTATGCTACTGAATGCACAATCAAACCGGTTGCGAGGTTACTGGAGTGTATGAAATCGGACAGTGAACCGCCTGCACAGATACGCCGCCAGCTGATGGACATCTTACGAATGTACAACTTGGTCTGGATAGGTCCAGGAAGGGTGACTAGGCCCAAGGTCGAGGAGATAGAAATATGCATGGGATTTGACCCAGATCACACCCGGCCCATACAATCCACCAATCAACAAATCAAGGGCTTGGGAAATGCGTTCCAAGTGCATACAGTGGGATATCACCTATCAGTGTTGAAAAATCTCTTTCCTGGAGGCATAAGCGTTCTGTCTCTTTTCTCTGGCATAGGAGGAGCAGAAGTGGCGCTGCATAAACTCGGTATAAAATTGAATGTCGTGGTCTGTGTGGAAATTGATCCCATTGTGAGACGGGTCATTGAGCATTGGTGGCAAATCACTCACCAGACTGGGCAACTGATAACGACATACCAGGACGTCAATAATTTGGACCATGAAACCTTGCAGAAGTTGATGGTGGAAGTGGGTGGCTTCGATCTTGTCATCGGCGGAAGCCCTTGCAGTAACCTTTCTGCCAAGAACCGATTTTCTAGAATGGGTTTGGCTGGAAAATCCTCCGTTGCTTTTTTCGAGTACGCCAGAATACTCAAAGAGGTTAGGACATTCGGCCTTCGACACAAATACCGCAAGTATCGTGCATGAAAACCCTCTTAATACGGTTTCAAGCTTGACTTCGCTATGGCAACAAGGAACGGGAAGCTCTGTACAGTACAGAGACCCGGAGCTGATAATTCGAATTTAATGATAGCTGATACTCTCCGAATGACCTCGTGTTTGATCTCGAAATTTCCCACACAGATGTCTTTAATGTATGTATTAAAATCGATTTAACTTCTTGAATAATGAAGATCTTGCCACGTACATAAATCTGCTTCATAAACTTTCCTTGAAGTTTTTGGGTACCTAAATTTAGATTACGAAGAACGTTGTCTTCATATGGAGTGAAGCTAAATTTTAGATTCTTGGTGATTTATCAATTCTAAATCGTCTCAATCTTTACATTTTATATTTTGGGATTCCTTTGTTTATGTACATGCCATGTCATTATTTTATATGCAACATGTGTATATATTGTTGTATGCAGACAATTTTACATTATATGCTCCTGGCATGATGCATTATCATAATTAGTATTGTATGATGACATTCGGCGTATGTTGTTAACCTAGAGCACATATGTTCTATATGAAATATTGTTTATTTATCTTTTTAAAATATTTAAATTCAAACAATGTATTTCATGATCAAGAAATAAAATTTATGAAATACTTAATTTTATTTCTATCATCCTATCAAATATATAAATATTTTATCTAATAGGATGATAGAGCAAAATATCAAATTATAAATATATTGTTAAGCAATATCTTAACATACACTAATATCTTGTTGAGTTGACTTGAGTGCTGTTAAAAGCCAAATATATGAAGATGAGACATCTTATTGGCTATGAAATGCTTCAACATGAATCAATGTGTGCCGACGATACCTGAACTTTACAAAGACCAAATGGTAGTCTGATGTCGTCTCCCGGCTAAAAATCCACAGCATTCGTTGAAGATGAATCATTCACCGCTACCTTGACCGCTACGTGAATAGAGAGTTTACGGTGTCGGAAGTTTCAAATCCAGGAGGAAAAGATGGTCTCACACGAATATTAATAAACGTGTCTCCTCAGAGAGCAACGCACACGGCCACATGATGATGAGTAGCGGAAATGGTCTGCATGTCCTAGCGGCAGAATGTGCATTTCCGCTCGGTCTCAATCGCTGCCCCGAAAGCCAAGTACGCTCGAACCTGATTCAAAACTAGCATTTGATACCCACTCGTTGAAAACCTTGGAATCCTCGAAAATTTGTAATTGCGAGTCTTCAATGGTGACGAGATATCACTCCACTTTCAATCCACCAGGATGAAATGGTACTCCTGGTTTTTCATGAATGGGTTGTTCTTTAAACTTGAGATTTTGCAAGAAATTAAGATGAGAGAGGATCTCCCTGGTATAGATTATAGGAAAACAAAATTGTCATGAATCTGAACTTTTCTGAGCAATAAAAGATTGGAATTTATTATTCAGAAAAATACTGTAATCTACGCCTTCCAATTCCGGAGAAACATTGAACGCATTGGAACCAATTGAAATTTCACAAAGTGCAATTTAATAGAAAATGAAAGATACTGAAAAACATGCAATTAGACGAGAGATATCTTTCTTTGATGGAAGGAATACTCGAAACAGAACAGATATACGACTTAAGAAATCGGAAATTAAGGAAATTCCTGATTATCTGCATATTCCTCTGCAGAGCTCATAATGCTTAAAGCCATATATAATCCGATTGCTACTTGACATATGACATGAGCTTCTATAGCTCAGTTGGCTAGAGCACCCGTTTAGTAAGCGGGAGGTCCTGAGTTCAACTCTCAGTGGAAGCAATATTCAGTGGCCGTGCCGGAGTGGTTATCGGGCATGACTAGAAATCATGTGGGCTTTGCCCGCGCAGGTTCGAATCCTGCCGGCCACGGGACATTTTCCTCCGATTCACAATTACAGGTGGATGACTTTGTTCACTGCATATCATTTTTTGATTTCAGAACTCAGATCAGTGACACTTGTCAATACTGATTGTAACCGAATTCCGTAAACTGCGGTTTATTCATCTGATTGAGTTCATGAGGACGTATTGATAGGGCCTATGAAGTCAGCATTTTGGGTGAGGAGAAGTTTCTTTTCATCACAAGTGAGGTGTTGCACAAGAACATAGTATCCGAATGCATGGCTGGCCCAGAGAGGAGGGCTGTAAGGACTACTCTGTCTTCTTACTTGATATCGTATACGAAATCAAAGAGATAGTTTTATTGTAAGTAAATTTTTATTCAGTGAAATTTGGAGCCTATATGAGAAGATTATCTTCTATTCTTCTTAATAAATCATCATCAAAATTTTCACATTCTTTGTTTCCATTTCTATTAAAAATTTTCTATACATATAATAAAACTCAATCGCTTCATATATGCCAATACTTATTGAGGGTACTAGTATCTTGAAATAATAGCTTTTCATGTCCGATTATTCTTTAGAAATACAATTAGATTGTAGAATTTATGTAGAACAATAGTTTCAAGAAGATAATCAAATTTTTTTGTTGGGTATCTTCTTATGCTCACTACCAAGATGGTGTTGAACGAGTAAGTTCCACTCATTCTATTACTCGATATTGATATCAGTTCCCAATACTTATTGAGTGTACTAATATCTTGAAAGAATAGCTTTTCATGTCTGATAATGGTTTAGAAATACAATTAGATTGTAGAATTTATGTAGAACAATAGTTTCAAGAAGATAATCAAATTTTTTGTTGGGTATCTTCTTATGCTCACTATCAAGATGGAGTTGTACGAGTAACTTCCACTCATTCTATTACTTGATATTGTTATCAGTTCTCCATGCTCTATCCAATGAGGTAACTAAAATTTTATAAACTATGTATATTCACAATTGTGATTTTGGATAGGATATGATCCTTTTGTTTCCTTACTTTTGTTTAGATCCAACTAAATTGCGTCAATGTACTTAAAGAGAAAAACTTTTTCAAAATTTTTAATAATAAATACGAGGATTCATCACTACATAACCGTTGCTTTTTTTTTTTTCAATTTACTTTTCACATCAATTTACCGAAAATTTATATACTGCTTATTTTTAGAAAAATTAAATTAAGAATATTTTTAATGAGGTTTCTGGGTGGTTTAAGTAAGTGTCTTTTTGTGGTTAGTATTCCAAGAGATGAAATAGAGTGAGGCTTAAATAAAAGATACAAAATAACAATCTCAGCCTCTCACTAAGGTAGTGTTCTTTTCACCATCATAGAAATTCATCAATATTCGTATTATCAAATAGATGTAACTATTGACAAATATTTTTGCCCGTTTCAGGAGGTTCTCGAGCAGTCCTAAAATCCAAGACCAAGGATTTGTTGGCAGACAAAGAAATGAGTTGCATGAGTATACTTTTTTCTTTATGAGAATGTATAGAAGGAGGATATAGAAAAGGATCACCATGTACGGTACACGAAGATACAACTTTCACAAGAGGAATAAGTCCTACAGTCCAGTATCGATCGGTGGGTGATTGATAAGTATCAAACAAGCCAGGGGTCCAGTACAATCAGAATATTTTTTACTATCAGAGGTAGTAAAATCGTCCGTAGTTCTCAGCGTAGCTGGATTATTCGACATTAAACAACGTACACGGTTCTGATGGCTACGCCGTTCGTACATGTCGCGTGACCGGAAAATAGATTATGCCTCAACACAGTTATAGGATGCCCTCAGTAAGCAAAGCAGGACCACATGTACGGGCAGGGCCGGCCGGGGTCAGAGGATGAGCAGCAGGCGGCGGGCCGCCACTACATCAGTAGTCGCCACCAGCGGCCGTAACCAAGTTGCATGGCCTGGATCCAGAGCTCAGCATCCATACCGACCGCCCGAACCTCCAACGCTTGCCGGACTGCAACGAGCAGACCGGCGCGAGCTGCGTCGTACCGTCGACCGAGCCTCACTCTCTGTCGGTCGAACCTCGCGCCGAGCAGAAATCCCGCAGTCTCATAATCGCAGAAGGTTCACGCACTCCCTCCCTCCGCAATGGAGTGTACCTGGATCGTTGGATGGTCTTCAGCAAAGCGTCTCTCCCTCATACATCTACGACAAACCTACCAACGCAGAACGCATGACATCCCGTGGTCATTTTCAGAATTCAGCTCAGACCAATTCCGCTTTTCCTATGTCGAATTTCTCTTTTCAGATACCATTAGATCATGGAATGAACGTGGGTCTACACTCTTCCAACGACGCAATCCACTGCTTTTTGGCGTTTTTCTTACTCTCACTAAACACCAGCTTTGTATCCGAAGTCGAGATGTCAAATAAGTCTCGCTCATTCCACTACCACTATCCGGATCCGAGGAGTTCTGGTAGTGGCAAACGGTGAAACTCCGAGAGGAGGAGATCCAAATTGCCGATTGGCCGAGGAAAAACGTCCAAGTGAGTGTTAGTACGTAGTACAGGACTGTAGTCTAAATACGAGTATTGACTATTGATGAGAACGAGTAATCTTGAATCATCATACTCAGGAGGGCGTTTCGGAATTAAAACACTTGATTTTGATTGCTTTCGTCCAGTCAAAGGCATGTGTTGACCACAAGCCCTCACGATGTTTGCAATAGACTCCTACCTTAATTTTGTGAAGACATTTTGTGAATTTTGTGAATTTTGTAGCTAGTTTTGCGCCGGCTGTCCAGAACATGAATCGAGATTGCGCCAGAAATCACAACCAAATAGCTATGGAGTGCAATACGGCAGAATGATACACTGTTGGTAATCTGCTAGAGAACCGAAGGAGTAGGCCATCAATGCGAGAAGTATGATCACTATTTTATGAAAAAATTGCAAATGCTGCTGTCCCAACATCTACTTCTTCTTGCCATTCCGAAACGACCTATTGCGAGCAGAAAAATCTGATCGAAGACAGTTGCTGTACGATGGTTTCACTCGTGATTGATGCTGAAGCTCGAGTGACAGGACGAGTTAAAATAAGAAAAGAAACGAAAAGAGACAAGGTCTGACTGGCAGCTGGTAGTCATGGGGAACGGTGGGCTTTGACATTCTGTACAGTAATCATATCGTTTTCTCAGGCACGCGAGCGTATGGTCTGTGAACGGCATCTACGGGAGTACGAAGCACTGTGAACTGTGAAGAGTAAGGCTCTCGAGTCGATCGAGAAAGCAAAGCATCTGACCTTTGTTTCTCGGACTCGGTGTAACGGGAGCTTGTGAGACCGGCTTTCGATCCTACGCTGCGCTAGGCTAGTTGCTGCCGCAGCTGGAA